AAGCATTCTCAATTCTGACATTAATCTAGGTGCAAACCTCTGAATTCTCCCAAGTTGTTTCTTGTGCTTTACGAGGCATAGGGTCTATGCTGGTGCTGCAAGTAATGGTTTCACATAGGCATTCTATACGGACATGAAATCCTCCTTGATTTAAGTTCTTAAATGATTCTTTTATGTCTTCAAATTTCGCATATGGTGCTGATGTTATCGTTTAGATGAGCTTCTGATATTAGTGTTGGGTTTATATCCACTCCCAGGTTTTTTCTTTTTGTATTTCTTGTGGTTGCCTTTCCCTTAGGAGACCTGTAAGTAATCACACAACTGTATATCCCTTATTCATCCTTCATTACTTAATGCTTATTTGAAATGAATTCCAGCCATTGTTTATCTGCCCACTCCTGAAGTTTGTTAGGGTCTTCTTGCAGCACCTTACAAATCTCTTTAAGTTCTGACTACTCGATAACTTTGTAACATCTGAAAAAATTGGCAATGTGGCAAAGGAAGACTTTAAATTAAAGGAAGATAAAATAAGGAGACATCAGTGGAAGCTGGAAGCTGCTCATTCTTTCTGTGAAGTTATTTACATAAATTAGACAGAGTAACAGTTCTTGGATAGAGCCCTGTGGAACACCACTTTTTACTCGTCTTCAGCCTGACATATTCTGAATTGTGACTTTGTTTTCTGTCCATCAGGTACTCCTGTACTTAGTCCAGTGTTTTTCCTGTTATCTGCACTTCTCTCCATCATGTGTATTTCACCCAACCCAAAATAAAGGAATTAATGATGTTTTGGTCCATCCTGGACCATTATCAAGTCCATTACACAACTTGATAATGATCCAGGATATACCAAAATGTTGTCAGTTCCATTTTTTCAAATGGAACTTGTGTGTTGTCTTTTGTGAGAGACTGTATCAGAAACGTTCTGACAATCTAGGAAGATGCAGTCTACCCATTCTTCATTATCTTGTTTTAGTTTGGTGACCCTGCCATAAAATACAATCAAGTTTTTCAGCATGATTTTCCTTCTGAAGCTGTGAAGTGCCTCTGTTACAAAATTTACTTTTCAAACATTCTACAATTTTTTTTTCTGATGACCTTTTCCAGTATTTTGCATGCATGTTAGTGATGCTGGTCTGTAATTTACTGCTTCATGTCTGTCCCCTTTATTGAATATCTGACCTCCCTTTTTCCAGATTTCTGGTAGCTCTCCTGTCTCTAGTGTACTGTTGGATGCACTAGCTAATGGGTGACTCAAAATCTATGCAGCTTTCTTCAGTAACCAGTGATATTTGGTCTTGTCTTGCCGCTGTTTGGCTTCACACAGTTCCTGAAGGAACTGTGTGAAGCAAAACTGTTTACCTCTTCTATAGTAACTTTCATTATGTTGTGTGTTGTTTCAGGTTCACATTTGTCATCTCTCCTTGGACATCAATCTAGTTCTGGTTTGTAGACCTCTTGCAACTTCTCGTTGACTTCTTCACATAGCTTTTCATCATTCTCCAAGAGTGGTACAGTGTTCCTCCCTCTCCCAGTAGTCTGATTACATGGCACTGTAAAGTTATTTTCCTTCCATATATGGCTATGCAATAGCTGAGGTTGGAGTTTTGCTTTTATCTTAATGTCATTTTCACACTGCTGCTCTTCTACCCTCCTGATTCTGGTGTACTCATTACTGGCCCTCATAAGTACCCCCTTATTTGTCCCTATACCTGCTCCATATCTATTTTTTACTTTTCCTTTACCCATCCTTTTGTCCACTTCCCTCCCGAGAGGTATGAACTGTCCCGTTGCTACTTTGCATTTCCGTGTTATGAGTTCCATAATTTCCTTTGATGACTTTCTTTCCATTTCACTCTCCCATTGAACATCCTGCAAATAAGCCCTAACTTTTATGGAACCCTCTCTTCTGTGTGCTCTTGCTATCTACATCCTTCTTTTTGGTCTGATTCTTTCAGTTCTACAATGTAATCAAACATGGTAACACACTGATCACTGGTCTCTTGTGGCACCTAAAATTGAATTTCTATACATCTTCATTTTTGGCAAACACCAGGTCTCGGGGTAGCTGTTAGATCCTTTCCACTTTCTCATGATGGCTCTATGATATGCTGCCACAGGAAGCATTTATCTATTTTGGCATCTAATATTGCTCTCTCTCTCTCTTTCCTTTCCACTGTCAGGATTGTTTGTTAACCAATTTTTTTTCCTTCTGATTAAAATCCCCAAGTACAGCACTAGGATCTTTGCTATGGTTCTCCCTGCCACTTTGGCTGCCTTTTCTATTATCTTTAGGCATGTTTTGTTGTAGATATCATTTTCCTCCCTTGACCTTCCTGTAGCTCTGTCATGCATTCAGAAGCCAACATGAGATGGAATCCACATCAAATGGACTCTATTACCATCATTAATAATTTGGTTGTACTATATTTGTCTAAATGATAAAGCTGATGAGTTAGGCAAAGAATCTGCCTGCAAAGAAGGATTTGATTATAACCTTGGATTGCCAATAAGCAGTCTGAGAACAATAATACATTAAGAACCTCAACAAAACCTTGTAGATCTGAGGCATAATGAAGTCTAGTAATTCCATCTAACATATTATCATGCAAGAAGACACACATCTATGGATCATCCAGTAAAATAAAAAAGACTATTAGGAGTTGTTACTGGCTGGCTTAGATGCAACTATAAGTGTCTCTGGGACTTTGAATGACCTGCAGATGTAGACCTGACCATCTGTAAGCTGTCAGCAAAATTATTCACACATCCTTTGTCGCTATGTGATTGAATGCAAAAGGATACAACTGTATAATAAGTGTTTAAGAAATGTGTAAATATTTCATTCAAAATGATCTACTACCAGAAATTGTAACCAAATATTCCTAGTTTGCTAACTAGGAATATTGTGGGTAAATATAAAAGGAATATTATGGTGGGTAAAAGGACAGGAAGTAAATGTGGGTAAATATAACCTTTTCACTGCTGCCCAGTGGATGGGAGATGATGTGCAGATAAACATATCAGTTATGTAACTGGCTCCCCCACACATGTTGCTTAGCTTAGAGACCGTATGCGTGATTGGTCTCGAACCTATTGTTGTTATAACAATATACACTACATCCTTAACAACAGGCATTTGCCCAACCCAGTGTGAAGACCCCCCCTCTTCCTCCCCTCACACCATGGCTCAAACAACCATATCCACCTACACAAGGTGGCCCATTCGGTGGGTGATCCGATGACCTGAACGAGTCCTTTACACACCAAATGTCTTGACTTGTACATCTCAACAGGTAGGAGAGAAGAGCAGAAGCCATACATGTTAGCCCAAGGAAAACATACAGGAGGCGACACCTATAACAGTAGATCTAGTTCAGCTTCATGTTTGTTACATGCAGCTTTAGCTGTCTTGGCTATTTTATGATGGATATTCCTACGTGAGACGGTATCTACACAAAGGGGATTTTTAAAACCATGCTATATGCATGTATTATATTATACTATTTATGGCTATTATCGGATTTCATTTAACAAGTTGAAATTGCAAAGGCTTGAGGAGGTGACTTCGAGAAACCGAAAATACTACTCTGTGTATTTAAGTAACAAGCTGTAGTGCTTTTAACTATATGCAGAACTTAAAGACAGTTCACTAGTTTAACACTAGTAGTCTGTGCATGTTTGTTTTTCTGTAAAACACAGCAATCAGCATAAGCTTAGTGCTAAGGGGAGTTAGATTACTTACAAAGAAGTCAATTATATCACATGCAGGGAATTTTCATTATTATTTTTAGTGGCTGATGTGTGCAATACTTACGTGTACATTGCATGTAATAGGAATATTAAATTTAAAGGAAGGAATTATCAGGGAAAAGTGCCAAGCCATTAAGACTATATAGCACTTGGAAGGGATCAAGATAAGGATTTGGGATGGGATGAGGGAAGGAATGGTGCCCAACCACTTGGACAGTCGGGATTGAATGCCGACCTGCATGAAGCGAGACCATCCACCCCAAATGGTTGGAAAGAAAAAAAGTGGGCAACACTTCTGTTCAACAAACTTTCACACAAGCCATGTGTTGGTGCATTGGTAACACTGGCTAGCCAATTTACAGCACTATATGGTGTCTCTAGACAGTGTTGCAGATGTTGAGTCTCTCATAACCTTAATGCAGAAAGCTGCTTTCTGCTGTACAATTTTTTCATATATTGTGTTAAGTAATTATCAAAAGAAACTGCCAAACCAGAAAGACTGTATAATAGAAAGGCTATGGGAAAGGAGATACATCACATTTAAGAATACAGTACACAGTTTGTTATCTATAATACCAGACCAACGATCACACCAATAGTTGAGGTTTGCAATATGACTGACTGAATATGGAATCCTTTTATGGGACAAGAAGGAAGAAATGGCCACTTTAACAGCAGGGAACATAAGCTCATTCGAGGTCACACCAATATGGCTGAATACCCAGCAAAATTCTATTGTTATAAATTTGTTAAAGATAAGAAAGAGCTAGTGCTGGATTTTGACCACCATAGGATGGGAAGGGTTAAAATATTTTAGATCTATGAGGCCACTATGTCAACTCTATTAGCAAAGGAATATTGGCACATAAAAGGTAGCTGGCATAAAGCATGCAAAATAGCATAAAGCTCTGCCGGGAAAATGCAGCACAATACAAGTTTGATCAGGAAATACAGAAGAGTAAACACTGTGAGCTGACTCCAACCCATCTGTAAACAGAGCAGTAGTGTGTGAATGGCAGAAAATTTGTTTAACGGAAAAGGCATTCCATAGCAGGAGGGAATTAACACAAATCAAATGACTTTGTTAAGGATAATGAGCAAAACTGATTTTTGTATTACAATATGAGAGAAATTCCTAATGAATCACGTAAGTGATGTGAACTTTTCATGTAGGTCAGAGCTTGATTGCAGATACTGTAGTGAAAAATATAACATGAGAATTGTTTTAAATCTAAATACAAAAGAAGACTGTTTTGCAGTGTTGAAGAGCAGTGCAACTGTGGTCATGGATCTACTCACATGGAGTGCATCGGTGCTGAACCTGACACACCAAGGAGTCACGCAGGTGCCTGAACCAGATAGCTTCATCCTCCCTGATAATGTCACAGAACCACTATCTAATTCCACTTCTTGGGTCACTGGGCTGCCACCTCTGGACATCTTCTACATCACCAGTGAGATTTTAGTGGCCATCATATCCATCATTGGCAACGCTCTCACCATCGCTGTCTTCACTGTAGACCAGAAACTGCACCGCCTCACAAACTATTACATAGTGTCCCTGGCACTGGCTGACCTCCTGGTGGGTTTAGTAGGCATCCCCTTCGCCATCCTAACGTCAGTGGGACTGCCTAGGCCACTATGGGCATGTCTACTGATGCTCTCAACACTGCTTACTCTATGCGTAATCTCGGTATTCTGCCTGGTGGCTGTCAGTGTGGATCGCTACTGGGCCATTCTTCACCCGATAAGCTACATCAGAATACTGAATGTCAAAATAACCAAACGTGAGTATGCAAATGCTTTGCTTATATGTGTGTAATTACCCAAGTGCAGTTACAGGATGAGAGCTATGCTTGTGGTGTCCTGTCTTCCCAGTACTCTGTCATACAACGCTTTGAAACTACCAAAAGTTTTGGCTTCCACCACCTTCTCACTTAACTTTTTCCAACCATCTACCACTCCAATATTTTTTCAGCACCTGTGTTCTCTCAACTTGAATCTGTGTCCTCTTGTTCTTGAAGTTGCTGGTTTCAGGAATTTCTCTTTGTCAATTTGGTCAATTCTTGTTATTATTTTGCAAGTGGTAATCATATCACCTCTTTTTCTTCTATCTTCTAGCTTTGGCATATTTAACACCTCTAGCCTCTCCTCGTAATTTATGTTTTTCAGTTCTGGAAACCATTTTATAGCATGCCGTTGCACCTTTTCCAGTTTATTGATGAGCTTCTTGAGATATGAGCACCATACAACTGCTGCATATTCCAATTTTGGTCTCACAAAAGTCAAGAACAGTTTTAGTATTTCACCATCTATGTAATTAAAAGCGAGTCTGAAGTTGGAAAGCAACCCATATGCTCCTCACTCAATGTTCATTGTGTGTTCATCCGGTGACAGTCTACTATCCAAAACCACCCTTAAGTCTCGCTCTTTATTAGAGTTCTTTAATTCCTTTCCACATAATTTGTAATTTGTGTGTGGTCTATTTTCTCCAATTCCACATTCCATGACATTTATTCACACTGAATTCCATTTGCCACATGGCACTCCAAGCACTTATTTTATCTAGATCAATTTGAAGGGCATGACAATCTTCTAGGTCTCCTATCTTCCCCAGTATCTTAGCATCAAGTGAAAAATGTTCATATAATTTTGTATTTCTTCTTGTAGATCATTTAAGCAGATGATGAACATTACTGGGGCATAAGAGCCGAACCTTGCGGAACTCTGCTAGTAAAACCCTTCCAGTCAGATACATTGCCTCTGAATACTGCCCTCATCTTTCTGTCAATTAGAAAATGTTTCATCCATGTTAAAAGTCTCCCTGTCACCCCTCCAGCATATTCCAGTTTCCAAAACATCCTCTTGTGTAGGACTATATCTAAAGCCTTTTTTTAGATCCCAATACAGTCAACCTAACTGTCTCTTTCTTTGAATACTGCCCTCATCTTTCTGTCAATTAGAAAATGTTTCATCTATGTTAAGTCTCCCTGTCACCCCTCCAGCATATTCCAGTTTCCAAAACATCCTCTTGTGTAGGACTACAGTATATCTAAAGCCTTTTTTAGATCCCAATACAGTCAACCTAACTGTCTCTTTCTTGTAGAATCTCTGAGGTTCTATCATAAAAACTAAGTATTATGTTCCTGTTATGGTCCTGTGTGTGTTATATTATGTTCCTAACTCTGCTCTCCTCTCACTATATTATGCACTAAACTATCCCTATCCTAATTATGGTATCTGTGTATGGGGGGTCTACCTCTGCAAACCACCTCAAGCCCATCATCACCCAGCAAAAATCTGCTATCAGAATAATAACAAACTCTGCTTTCAGACAACACTCGGCTCCCTTGTTTAAATCCCTTAACATGCTAAATATTAACTCCCTCCACACATTCTCTTGTGTCAACTACATTTACAAAACCCTGTTCTTAAATGCAAACCATGCTCTGAAACTCTCACTGGACAGATGAAACAAATATCTCTTTGATATCCCCAGGGTCAAACTTAATCTGTGTAAACGCTCTATCAAAATAAATGGACCTAGTCTATGGAACTCACTCCCTAGTGAATTGAAAAGCTGTCAAACTTTTGCCTCATTCAAAAACAAAAAGTACCTAATTTCATCTTCGTAGTTTCCTACACCGAGTGTTAAATTTGCTCTGTATCTAGTGTTACTCAATCTCCCAATCTTTATGTACTTAATCCTAACAACTTTATCATTGTGTTCATTGCTGTCTTCTTTTATGTGCTAGCCAGATGCTGTATTGTGCCTACTAATGTTTGTTAAACTACCATTCAAGCTGTCATTGCAATCCATCTGAGCTACCTATGTGCTTTAATATACTGTACCTACAATTTTCTCTCATTTATTTTTTTCTTGCTATGTAACTTATCATTTTTATAAATTTTGCTAGTATTTACCTACTTAAAATTTTCTTAGATTAAGGACCTGCTCGAAATGCTGCATGTTCTAGTGGCTTTACAAGAATGTAATTACTATGCTATGTATCCTCACAATCCCAATGTACCTTCTTGTATATATATAAATAAATAAATAAATAAAGTAGATTTATTACACAGGACCTTCCTGTTTGAAAACCATACTGTCTGTCCATTATTGTCATTAATCTCTAGGTGTTCACCTCATTTGGGATTAACTATTTTTTCTAGTGTTTTGACTACCATGCGTGTTAATGATATGGGTCTATAATTTAGAGGGGTCAATAATTTAACTCTGCCACCATTTTTGTAGTGGAACTATGTTTGCATTTTTCCATATATCTGCTAAGATTCCAATGCACAAGGATGTCTGGAATATCAATTGGAGTGGAATACTCAGCTCAGATGAACATTCTCACCCAAGGTGAAACCCCATCTGGTCCAGATAAGGTACCCAGCAAATATTGACTGTCATAAATCTGTTAAAGATGAGAAACAGCCAGTATTGGATTTTGACCACCAAAAGGCGAGAAGACTCTAAAGCCACAAGGGAACTGTAAGAGTTAACCACAATAACAAAGGAATGCTGTGCATTAAAAGTAGCTGGCAACGAGCATACAATATTGCATAAAGCTATCTCATGAAGAATTAAGGAGGCCACTTATGTGTGTTCCATATTCCATAATGGGATTTCTTATTCAAATTTCTACCCAGTCACTCATAAAGCATCTGTAACCATTGAAATGATCATTAGCCTGGTATTATGGAAAACAAACTGTGCACTCTTAAATGTGACCTATTCCGATGGCTTTCCTCCCACCCCTTTATTAGTAGTGGGAAATGGCTCAGACTAAGCTGTGTACCAGCCACACGTGCTTAACGCATGAGCACTTAATTGAACAATGGCTTGCTCCTAATTATCTTAACAACACTCTCCCAACAATAGGCTATTGTTGGTTATTATCTGCAATAGGCTACTCACTGCCTAAGGATGAGTTAACTCCCACTCACCATGCTTCTGCTATGTTTTGCCTGTTATGCCAACAAGATTTTGCAAATATACATCATTGCTTGCACACATTCCTCATATTAATCTATTTATAATTTGTTACTGTGTATGCTCCATGACATCATAATTTATTCCTACAACCAATCTTGTAAACTGACAGTAATATTTCATAAACAATCTAGAAAATGTGTGTGTATTGCAATTATTGACTAACTCATAACATCTATAATAACTTCCACTTTTCCTTTTCACTGCTGTTGCTACTCCTACCCTGCCCCTACTGGTGGTGGTGTCTGCATGCCGGTGTCACTGCTACTGGTGCTCCTACTGGTGCCCCACGCAGGCATCATCCTGGCATGCTGGGTCTCGGGGACACTGGTGGGTCTGATGCCTATGATGGGATGGCACGAGGAGTACGACGACCATTGCATCTTCACGCAGGTCATGAGCTATAGCTACCTCATCTTCCTCGCCTTCAACACCATATTTGTCCCGGGGCCAATTATGATCATTTGCTACGCTAGAATCTACAATGTTATTCTTAAGCAGGTGCGTATTTATTGGAGGAAGAATTATTTTCAAGCGTAGAGTTAGTAAGGTTTTTTGTTACAGATGTGAAGAGTAGTGATTGAATGTTGACCAAACCACACACTAGAAGATGAGATAATGACGTTTCGGTCAGTCCTGGTCCATTATCAAGTTGATTGTGATTGAATATCACTGAATGATCGTTGAATTGAATGATTGATCAATCTAGTGATTGAATGGTTACTTTCAATTGTGGAGTAGAGGATTTATTGTTTCTTTCAGGTGTATAGTGGAGTATGAGAGTTACTAGTGACAAGTGTATAGTGGAGTATGAGAGTTACTAGTGACAAGTGTATAGTGGAGTATGAGAGTTACTAGTGACAAGTGTATAGTGGAGTATGAGAGTTACTAGTGACAAGTGTATAGTGGAGTGTGAGAGTTACTAGTGACAAGTGTATAGTGGAGTGTGAGAGTTCCAGGCGATGAGTCACAATAACGTGGCTGAAGTATGTTGACCAGACCACACACTAGAAAGTGAAGGGACGATGACGTTTCGATCCGTCCTGGACCATTCTCAAGTCGATTGTCTAATGACTTGACAATCGACTTGAGAATGGTCCAGGACGGACCGAAACGTTATCGTCCCTTCACTTTCTAGTGTGTTCTGGTCGAGTATGAGAGTTACTTGTCACAGCTGCTGACTACCTTGTGGTTAGAGTCTGTTGCTAATTACAGGTGGGATTTGAAAATAATAGTGTAGATAATTGCTTGTGTATATGTGCATTAGAAATAGTTGAATAATTATTAAATGTGTTTACTGAAAGCTACAAGTGTATGTACTGAAGTGGAATCTTCATAACTGCAGATGCATAATGTAATGATGGAGGGGTGTTCATCAATCCAGGTGTGTGTGTACTGCTGAGAGGTATTGCTGGTCATCACAGTAAGTAATGATCAAAAGGTGCCAAGCCTGGAAGACCATTCAACACCATCTGTGACAGAGAATGGTATAAAATTCCTAGATATCACTCAGAATGCCAATACAAGAGCAAAGGCATCAGATTCACCAAGGATTTTATTGAGGGACAATTGACTCAAATGGGACATTGAGAAGGAAACATTTCAAAGCATTCTGAAAATCAGGATATTTTGTGAAGAGGTGTGTAACTGTAAGAAGGACAATGCAGTTATGGCAGTATAGCACAGGGCTTTCTTCCATTAAGTGTCCATGAGTTAAAGCCAAACTTAAAGGTAGATAAAACAATGGGAACCTGCACAGGGAAGTAACTTATCCAGGCTCAAAGTATGGACCAGGCAATGCACCCCAAGAGTGGAGGAGTCAATATTGTGCCAAGATGGGAAACAAGAAAACATGATTGTATGGAGTAACAAACCCTTAAGAGCCAGGAATTAAGCACAAAAGAGGGTCCAAGGGTAGCCATGGGGCCCTTTCTCCTGCAACCCCAATGTTCTGTGATCTTTACCCAAACTGGAATTGTATCACAGAGGAGTGAAGGAGTAGCCCTTCAAACCTCCAACCCCAGAAGGAGTAGCCTCCAATACTGATCCTGCATTAGTTGGGACCTATAAGTCTACAGCATGAAACCACTTAGAAGCCCTAACCAATAAAGAAGACCAAGATGCAGAGCAAACAAAACCAGCCAAGGCAGTAGCAGCATTGGAAGCCAGCGGATAACTGGCTCAAGCGGCAAACAGATGCCACTCTAACTGTCTCATAAAAGAGTGGAGGATCAACAGCAGCACTATACACAGGGTGCTGTGTATCAGCAGCAGCACCACCCATCATACATGGGCTGAAATGAAGCCTATATCATAAAAATCGGTCTCAGAAAACAGGGACACGAGAAGGCGGCTCAATCAAGACCGAAATCCAGAGCTGAAAAATAGTGCACACATGTGGGTATTATGACAGTGTCACCACACAGAGTAATTTCATTTAAAGTAAAATATGCTTGGCACGCCTTCTGGAGTGTGCTTTAAGTGCCATGGACATACTAATCTGTGAAAGCCCAGTTCTTGTCTTCATCCAAATATGGCTCATACATTAAAAATCTAATGTCTTAACATCTTTAAAAACTAGTGTTTCAGATGGAGTCTTCTGCTGCAACTGTGAGTAGGTGTCATAAAACTATTATCATTTCTCTTGAAGTGGTGGTCTCAACTCGTCAAAATGTTCTAATTCCAGAAAAAATCAAAATCTGCAGTTTCAGAACAAAAGGTATACCAAATAAATTTATGATTTATTGCATAAAAGCTTTAAGGCTGCTTTTGCTTGATTACCTGTAGACTATCTATTAAAAAGACTGCTAGCATCCTACATAGCTTGTTTATATCTCACAAGCCTCACTATCTGCTTTTAACTCATTCAGATGAGCTAAAAATAAATAATTCCACTTTTCAACTTTGTAACAATGCCTTTGGCAGTAGCTAAGTATACTTTAACATCACTTCTATATTTTAAATGCATATTTTAACGAGTTTGTATCTCCCATCACGATCAACTTGGCTTAATCACTGAACCTAGCACTCCCCCCCTGGCAGCAGAGTAGACACTGTTGGAGAATAATCACACGCAACCCAAAGCTTGAATAACCAGCTGCACTCGCAATGAGCTACTGTCCTTGTTTTTCTAGTCTACAGCTTGTTAGTAATAAATATATGATTGTGTTTACCTCATATATATGTTTTAAAGTCATTTTATAGTTTCCCTTTAAAGGATGTATGCCTTCCTTATTTTTTACCTGTAGGAAATGATATACAGTACTTTAAACATCACATATAGAGCTGAGTACATAGTCTAAAGTATAGAGTGTAAGTGGAGTGCCCACACTCTAACATTAAAATGTATGGTATAACAAATTTCAGTGCTTTACATGATACACACCTCGATAAAGTAATTCTCAAAAGAAATTACCAAGATCAGAGGGCTCGTCATTCACGATGCCAATATGAGAGCAGAAAATATAGGAACAATGTCAAAAAGAAAGAGACATTTCAAAATAGGCGGGTGGGGCGAGAGGCGGAAACTGGGACACACAGATTTCATCTTACAGGTTCGGGCTATACGATAGTTAACAAGTAAAACTCTCCACAAGGTGACACATGCAGATGAGTACAGAAAGAGAAAGCTGCAAGTGTGCAATCCTTGCATTAAAAGACTGCAAAGGAGTGTGGGAAGGGCTTTTAATGGACACTGCAGTGGAGGTTCAGAGCAAGCATCACTGGTATCTTTGTAGGGTCTGTGCCAAGTTTAACGGGCAAGATTCAGCATGGGATTTACAGGTTAAAAAGTCACAAGGGATGTGAGGACTGGTGCTAATGACAGACAAGTGTTTGAGTAAAAGAGCATTCATGGCTGACATTAGGTAAGCAATAACAGAACTATGGAAATGAACAATAACATTCAGGAATTAATTTACCAGCAATATGGCTCCTCATCTTCCAGATATGGGAAAGAGGAGTGTTAGCATTGATAGTGGAGACACATGATCTCCATTTCTTTCATTTAGAAAATTGACCCCCTGCAAGCCTCAGCACAAGAATAGGTGCTTCTTCCGAGCTGTGCTTACAACGAAGAGTGCATGCACAGTTAGAATTTATCAAGGAATGCACTTTTTCATGACATGGCAGGTAGAGAGCTGGAGAGAACTGAGGGGTAGCTTCCAGTCAGGTTAGTTGAAATTGATGAAGGGATCAAGGAACAGAGGCAAAGGTCAGAAAGTTTCCAGTCTGCTCAGTCAAAATATCATCAAGGAATAGGGATAGACAGATTAAAAGAACTGACGAATGAGTTAATCGGAAAGCAGTCATCACTGTTATGGAGGATGTCAAGGATTTGCTAAGCCAGATCAGGGTAAAAGAAAGAAGTAGAAAAAGGAATGAGCAATACCTCTCCCTTTGGTAACTCCCTCTTCTTAAAGTAACTTCTCTCTTCCTCAGATAACCCACTTCTGCCTCAGTTCCCCCCTTCTTCCTCAGGTAATGCCCCCCCACTTTCTTTGGGTGACCCCCTTTCCTATAGGTAACCCCCTTTCCTATAGGTAACCCTTTCATCCTCGTGTAAAATTTCCCTGCTTTGCCTTCACAGGCTAGTAGCAGGGAGGTGAAGGCTGCCAAGAGCATGAGCATCATAGTGCTCTTCTTCATGGTGAGTTGGCTCCCGATTAACATCATCAACTGCATCCAGGCCATCTGCAGGAATTGCCCAGTACCCATGCTGCTCCTCTACTTCTCCATCATCCTCAGCCATGCAAACTCAGCCCTCAACCCCTTCCTCTATGCCTACAGTATGCAGGTAACCTTCTTATTAGTAATGGGATTAGGGTTTAGTGCTTACCAATATGTATATCTTGTTCCTGTGTCTCCATAGGACACACACACACCTTTTTTTTCCTCTAATTGTTCTTCCGATTTACATATGTTCGTTTATTTGGGTATGTACTGTTAGGTGTGTTTATGAATTGTTAGAATGAGGTCACAAAATAAGAATACTGTATGTGATAGCTACATTTATATACTTATTGTACATATGCAAATGTGCATTTGTGTGCATATGCATGTACGGTATATATATGTATGCATTAGTAACTACTGTTGACAAATGTAAAAGGTGAGGATATATATACACATGTGAACAGATTACATAGCTTAAATGGAAATGGTGACATGGATAAGACTTAACATGACATGAGCAGCGGGTTACGGACGATATCTGCTTATACAACTCGATATTACTCCCATATTTTGCCAATATGAAGCTGTCTAATTTATATAATTGAAGGCTTATATTTTAATTATTGTATACGGTTCACTTCATTCAGTACAAGATTTTCTTTATATTGCTTTCAGAGATTATCATAGAGTGCAGTAATTTTCTGAAAATTAATCCAGGTTAATTGAATGGCTTGAACCTCGTAAACGAACAAACAATGTATTAAGAATCCTGTCCTGTCCCACATAGAATTAATTACAAAATTTACAAACAATTTTGTAAGCATCCAATACAAGTATCAGATAAATTTTTAATCAAACATTTTTGAATGACTTCAAGATTCCTAAATCTTAAAATTTTATTTAAAAAAAGTAGTAAATAAAGGTATAGCATTATCAAAATATGTAAATCATGTGGCAAAAGCAAAGGGATATTTATACATTGACAGGTGCACCCTAATTCTCGATGCATTTACACAGTTTACTTTAGTCCTGGTCTCTGTTTCTGACTAAAGTATACTTGCTGGTTGGTCAGTAAACTTATATTAGAGTTGAGTCCAAACCACATAGCATTAGGGGGGCAATATTATAAATCTATGTCGCACTTTGTTCATGTCACGTGTTATAATTTTGTCATTGTAAGTATTTATTTATCATCTTTAATCTGTCCCCATGTTATGTATCTTCACTGTTTTCATTTTTGCCTGTAGCACAATATAATCCTTGATAATGTATTAATGAAAAGGACAATTTTCAGAATTTTAAAACTGTAGTGCAAGGTAGTGAAAGTTAGGAGACTCATATGAGCCACAGGGGTACAAGGAAAGATTTCCACATTGTGAGAGTTGTGAGTAAATGGTGCAAACAAAATAGGGAAATAGTAGAAGTGACCCAGCGGTAGAAACTAACTAGAGGTTTTCCCCCCCCCTCAGGACTTCAACAAATCCTTAAAGAAACTCGTCTGGCACCGCCTGCTGCGACAATCAACAGAGTTGAATTTCGAGTCTCAATCTCAGCCAAGTGATGCTTGCCAGCTTGACTCAAAACACACTGAAGAACTGCCCCCATCAACTCTGATAAAACCCAAGCTTACAGTCCTCTACTGTGGAGATCAATAACCCTATTTAAACATCTAGTAATGTGTCACCCTCTTTGTTGTTGCCTTCTACTCCTGCCACTGTAACAACCACACCTCATCCAAAATCCAAAGCATCCAAAACCATTCCATGAGCTACAACTATCCCCACCCATGCCTGCAGCATCAGTCAGAATGCCTCTAGCATTCCTAGCCACTGCTGTCGTCATCTATATGATTAAGGTCCCATTAGTGAAGTCGGGTTCATTCTTGACACACAATCGAGAATTACAGGTTCGAATCCCAGGCGGGACAGAAATGGTTAGGCACATTTCCTTTCACCTAATGCTTCTGTTCACCTAGCAGTGAGTAGATGCTCAGGAGTTAGTCAGCTTGTTGTGGGGTTGCATCCTGGATGGGGTCAGTAATTCGGCCTTTATGGGGGGGGGGGGGGTCCTCGATAAAAGCCAAAACGTGTATGAACACACTCTGGCTTCCTGTTCCCCGACACAATGAATTATTATGATGATGAGTGGCCCACAACAGCAACCCGAGGTAAACTGTTCACAGTGCATCCACTCTTGTCCCTCACACACTTCTTGGGTGCTGTGGCACTCCCATGAACATCCAGCCACACTAGTAGTCCATGAACTAATAGTGTAGACTAATTAATGTCAGCAACGCAGACTGACAGTCTGTGTTGCTGACATTAATCTTACCATAAGTAATGCCAGTGCAGCATCAATCAACCTATGATGGTGCCCAAGGGATTTTGGGAGGGGGGGTATGAAGTGATGCCAGGAGAAATCACACTAGAATCACTTCGGACAACTTGCAATAATTGTAGAGATTGGGCAGATGAAAAGGAAACTGTCCTCTCTGTTGAGCCAATGTCATGCGAGTGATACTGCCACTGCTTGCCTATTTAAGTACTCTTCTCATACTTGCACCTTTACTTTAATACTGAAACAATAACAACACCTTGGAAAAAAAACATGCAGAGCAAGAAAGGTGCATGCGCTGTTGCAAAAAAGAATGATTGGATATGCATACACCACTGATGAATCATCTTGCTAAATAAAGTAAATATATACAAAACATTCAAGCTAACCCCAAAGATATGTGGTTAAATTCACGAGGATCAACTAGAGTTCAGGTCCTTGATGAATTTATATTTTCAGTACAGTTATATACTTTTCCAGTTACTAGAAGTGTTATACTCAATGGTCAAAATAAAAGAAAAATAAACAAAATTTACCTCTCAACCATATAATTAGCTACAAGATTCTACACCACCACCCACTACTGTCTACGTTACCTCCACTCTGGGAGGAGCCTCTTTGTACAGGTACAAACTCCTGTACTTCATCATCACTTGATGATGCCCAATCTGTCTCATCCTCCGAGGCCGAGTCAACCGCTGGACTTGATAGTTTGTGCAGAATGTTTGGAAGAATTACCTCATTTGAATTTCTTTTCCCTTTCTTCGGAAGTGCACTGAAAAAGATAAATCATGATCCCATGAAATAAGAAACAATAATACTATCTTTGAACAAATAAGAGCCTTACAGACTGCTGAAGGGGAAGACTAGGGATTGAGATGTGTGGTAGTGTATGCGGGAGTCACAGTTTAATCTACCTTGATGTAGGGGGCATGAAACGAGGACCAGAAATGGATATTACAAAGGATGGTGAAGAATGATGTGATAGTAGGATAAGACCACTGGCATCCAGTTTGATTATTCATGTTGAAATTAATTTACAAATACAAATAATATTTTTATGGAATAGTCTAAGGTATAAATAGCAAGAAAAGTCAGTTATAAATTGCCACAACACACTTTTTCTGTAGATGCAACACATTTTGAGATAGTAACCAAAATATGTAGCTGGCCAGATTAAGAGCATGTGCTAATTGTCGGACCATTGGCTGCCGATGTCTAGCCAAATTATCAGCTCATAAATTTGTAAGTGAATTTCCCTAGTATAAATATATACAGTACTGTATATGTATTATGATCTGCCAGGGTATATTATACCAGCCATAATTTTGAAACAATTGCAAACCATTCCTATACCATTCGTATAACAAGATAGCAAGTACTGTACTCGCAGGTTCACCCACCACATGGGCGGATACTGCATAGCAAACCAGCATGTCAATGCATTTATCCACTCAGTGTTTGCTAGTTCATTCCTTGGGAACCCCTGAGCATTAGGATATGTTACTAGACATGGTAGTATACTGTGTCAGTATTCTTTGGTGTTCTTTCAACTTTGTTTGGCAAAACAATTTTAAGACAGCTTCCCTAATGTTTGACTAACATATAATGGAGCAAGTGCCACCTGTTTATTTTGTCTATAATAAACAAAAATATGTTGAAAAACAATGGATCGCCTCAGTTGAAAGAACAATGGGTTGCCTCAGTATGTCAATATATGTATGATAGTATGTTGACCAGACCACACACTAGAAGGTGAAGGGACAACGACGTTTCGGTCCGTCCTGGACCATTCTCAAGTCATTCACAATCGACTTGAGAATGGTCCAGGATGGACCGAAACGTCGTCGTCCCTTCACCTTCTAGTGTGTGGTCTGGTCAACATACTTTAGCCATGTTATTGTGACTCATCGCCTGCATATGTATGATAGTACTTATTGTAACTATGTGGACTATCTAAACAGGAGGATGGGTTGATAATCTTTAGTCTATATAGCTTAAACTTTCATGATAAATATTTCCTTTATCTACTATTAGCAAAATATAGTACACTAGAATTTTATACATTTAATAATTTATAATTCTTATAATTTAATAATTTAAAATAAAACGAGTTGCCATTTCATGCAATGTAATGTAAAGCTGCCGAAGGAATATAAGAAAATTCACTTTTGCAAACAAAGTAGTAGACGGTTGGAACAAGTTAGGAGAGAAGGTGGTGGAGGCCAAAACCGTCGGTAATTTCAGAGCGTTATATGACAGAGTGCTGGGAAGACGGGACACCACAAGCACAGCTCTCATCCTGTAACTGCACTTAGGTAATTACACTCAAGTAATTTCACCCTCAGCACATATAACAGGTTTATTTGGTGGGTCTTACCTCCATCCTGCTGCAGCCACACACACACAATACACACAAATGATGTTTGGTTGGTTTCACCTCCTATTGAGTGAGAGACATGGCCTCAACACACATAACACATGTATTTGGTGGGTCTTACTTCCTATTCTGCAAGAGACATGCCCTCAACACACACAACAGATGTATTTGGCAGGTCTCACCTCCTATCCTGCCGCAGCCACACCTTCAACAAATGCCCTCCTGTCACAATTACACCTGGTGATGCGCTCATGGTCAGGTAGCGACCCTCGTCGTTGTCAGTTAGAGAGCAAATATATCTGCCACTTGATGCTTCACGAACTTATGAAAGTAAAGCAATTGAAACAAAACTTGAATTTAAAAATTAGTCATAACAAATTCACAATCTAAAAGATACAATAAAAATCCTTGATGCTAATAACATTGAGCAATTTAATATTACTATTCAAACAACTTTAACACATTATTTCTTTATAACAGTCTTAGAGAAATGTCATTGATGGAAATTAAGAATTGTTTTAAACCATAATTAAATCTTATAGGCCTAAACAATTACTAAAAGTTATAAAACAATAAGAAAAGCAACGATAAAAAATTATAGTTACTTAATATTTACAATATTGAGTTTTTCAAAATTCAAAATAAAAATGCAAAATTATAGAAAATTGTTGTACAGTACATCTAAAATATGTAAAAATACTATTGCCCATACTGAAATAAAAAAAATATACTGGCACTCCCAATGTTATTGGCAACAATTCCTGAGATCAACACAGAAATATGATGCCACACAACACTAGTGGTAAACTGTACTGCTATCTTGAGGTTATCTCGAGATGATTTCGGGGCTTTAGTGTCCCCGCGGCCCAGTCCTCGACCAGGCCTCTACCCCCAGGAAGCAGCCCGTGACAGCTGACTAACACCCAGGTACCTATTTTACTGCTAGGTAACAGGGGCATAGGGTGAAAGAAACTGCCCATTGTTTCTCGCCGGCACCTGGGATCGAACCCAGGACCACTGGATCACAAGTCCAGCGTGCTGTCCGCTCGGCCAACCGAGCGGACAGCACGCTGTGCTACGGTATTTCCAGATCCTTTAAATTAAGATAACCTCCCAACACGAAAATAGATAAATACCATTTATATAAATACAAATCCAAAATAAGGGCTAGAAGTTAAAGCTGTAAATATTTGTTTAAATATACGGTACTGTATTTATTTCTAAAATATTTGTCAAATGACATAAGTTGACTTTGGGAGTTCATGAAACAGGTTTCTAAATAATGTACAGTACAAGTTTCCCACTGAACCCTATACCAGTGGACTGGTTTTAATAAATGTATATGCTTCCCCTTACATATCTTGAGGTTATCTTGAGATGATTTCGGGGCTTTTTAGTGTCCCCGCGGCCCAGCCCTCGACCAGGCCTCCACCCCCAGGAAGCAGCCCGTGACAGCTGACTAACACCCAGGTACCTATTTTACTGCTAGGTAACAGGGGCATAGTGTGAAAATAACTCTGCCCATTGTTTCTCGCCGGCGCCTGGGATCGAACCCAGGACCACAGGATCACAAGTCCAGCGTGCTGTCCGCTCGGCCGACCGCTATGTGTGTACATTAGTATAAAATCTAAATTATCCACTTGTCCACTTACCATTGATGGAAGAACTACCAGAATCAACGAGGTAGGATGCAGCAAGAAGAAACCCGTCTGGTGAGAGCGTTAGACTGTCTGTCATGCCAATGTCTCCAACGTGGTTCACCAGACGTGACACATGGCCTGAAGCATGGAAATATTACACTTAGAATCCAATTATATTAATACTTTTCTCTTCCATATTATTCCTTACAACATAAAGAATGAGGGTCTTCTATATAAGGGCTTTATGGAGTACAGGTCAAGAGCTAACTATAAGCTAACCTTATATTCCTCTCAGAATGGTTGGTTGTACATGAAGTGCGAGTCTAGTCTACTAGCTTGCAGTAGAAAACTTTGGGTAAGGTTTGATCATATCTTCAATATCAGTGAGAGAATGAAATAGTTACAAAGTTCCAGGTATCCCATGCCATTTGGTTTAAAGTTATTAGTAACCGAGCATTTACTAATAGTGTTCCAGAATGTGATTTAGCTCCTTTTCATAGCTTGCAATTAGAATGCTTACTATTGAGAGGATTCATTACCTGTAGATACCTGCCATAAGTAATGCTATTACAGCCTAATTCTGGCAATTATGTAGACAAAGTGCAGGGTGTATGTTTTGTGCTTTCCATATGACTATATATCTTTATACTAATGCTTTCTGCCCGAGTGTGCGATTCCTCTTCCGTCAGCTCAAGTTTCTTCAAGTGGTATGATATGGACAGCAGAAACTGGGATAGTTAGGTTTAGTTTGCTTTCACATTTATTACATGCATATGATAATTTTCACTTACCCTTCTTCCAATCCACAACTTTAATATTTGGACCACTGTCTCCCAAATAACACCTCCCGCTATGTGCCACAACTGCTGCTAATTGTCTCAGAGGAACAAAGGTAGATGATTCAGCCTCCATGATGTAAACAACTCCCAGCTTTCTACGGGTTGCATTAAACCTCCAAATTCCCAGCTCACCATCAGCACTTCCAGCATATACCTCATCTCCATCAATCTAAAGGGAATAAAATTAGTATTTTCATCTGCTTCATTACGATCTCTGTAGCAAATAAAAAAAAATTAAAATATCATTTAAACTATTAATCTAAATATTATTATACAAAGTTATTTTACCATAATATGTAATATGACTGCAATCTTTATGCCTTATCTCTCCAAAGTATCATAATTCTCAGAAATACAGTATATGCACAAGAGGATACAATGGATGAGGTAATCAAAATGTGTAATCAAGTGTATGTACATAACAATATAGATATGATACATAACTGTGCTTCTGAGTAAACCAATATAATACCAAATCTTAGCTTTTGTCATAGAACTGCATATCAACATGCCCTATGGTTTTACCAATTGTTCATGTAATTAGGTCTAAATATAATAATGTAAAATACTTACCTATAAATACTTAAAGAAAGTAAAATTAGCTCACCGAGCCCCACTTCCTGGCTACTTCTACCTGGTGTATTTAAGTCTCTTGCTGTTCTATATCATCTTTATTCTTGCAATTGTACACAGTACAAGCCTTTTCTTACTTCCCTCATCATTGTTGAGCTTTATACGAGTGGTCTGGGAAAGACTGTGTAAATTATCTTGAAAATGTTCATGTTTAAGTTTCTGAATGTCATTCTTATGTTGCCAGGTCCTCATACGCTAATGATGTTATCCTCTTTATATATACCTCTAGTGTCAATGATATCTGCAGCTGCCTACATCTTATGGTGTAGCTTCCTGCCAGTCATGTTTTCTCATTTTCATTATATACTTTCCACCTGCTAGGATTGACATCTAGTAATTATTTGCCTACCCAATCCTGCATTGCATTTTGCCAAGACCTTCCTGTATTTTGTCAAGGTCTTCTCTCAGTTTATACTCTAGTTTGTTTTACATTATCAGCAAACATTTATGTGACAAAACAGTAATGTGTACAAATTCACCCTTCCAGTAGGTTGCTAACACAAGATTATAAATAGCAAAGAGCCCAGGACTGAGCCTTGAGGGACTACCCTTGCTACATTTCTCCATTCCAACAACTCCTTTCTAACTAACTCTGTGTCCTGTTTGTTAAGTTCCACCATACCCAACTGAACGTCTTTTATAGCTAACTCAGCCTCCTGCTCTATCTTATGCACTAATATTTTGCAAAGAACCATGTCAAAAGTATTTGGCAATCTAGGAAGATACCATCTACCTACTCATCTCTCCTGGCATATTATGGTGGCCTCATTATTCCACGTGCTTGTCTCACACGACTTTCCCAACCTAAACCCATGTTACCTTAAATCAATGTTAACTATAATACACTGTCACAGTATTCATTCATGGAACGCATTATTTAAAATAGCAAAGTAATTTTGATTTAGAATGTGTGCAGGTGGTTACAACTTCCAAAATATACAAGAGGTGAACAAATCATAGTAATCACAATTAAGAACCATGACTGCTTCTTTGTAGTCTGTCAAACCTATGTCCACCACATGTAATGAAATGGTTTGGTCAAGTTAAATGAGTTAAAGTTAAATTTGGTCAAGTTAAATTTGGACAAGTTAAATTTGGACAAGTTAAATTTGGACTAGTTAAATTTGGACTAGTTAAATTTGGACTAGTTAAATTTGGACAAGTTAAATTTGGACAAGTTAAATTTGGACTAGTTAAATTTGGACAAGTTAAATTTGGACAAGTTAAATTTGGACAAGTTAAATTTGGACAAGTTAAATTTGGACAAGTTAAATTTGGACAAGTTAAATTTGGACAAGTTAAATTTGGACAAGTTAAATTTGGACAAGTTAAATTTGGACAAGTTAAATTTGGACAAGTTAAATTTGGACAAGTTAAATTTGGACAAGTTAAATTTGGACAAGTTAAATTTGGACAAGTTAAATTTGGACTAGTTAAATTTGGACTAGTTAAATTTGGACAAGTTAAATTTGGACAAGTTAAATTTGGACAAGTTAAATTTGGACAAGTTAAATTTGGACAAGTTAAATTTGGACAAGTTAAATTTGGACAAGTTAAATTTGGTCAAGTTAAGATGATACCCTGGTGAAGAGTGTTTGTTTACCAGTGATGCTATGAAATGTAAAATACAGCAAATGAATGAGTGTAATTTTAGTAAAGTCTTTACCTTTCCTTCCCATATTGTTCCCTTAAATTTGTCCATGGGCTACAGCCTTCCCAACCCAAGACAGTGGGAGATGAGGTAATGATATTGTATAGTCTTACAATGTCCATGACACATTCTCTTAAATAAATAAAAAATGAGAGAAAAATGCGACTTCAAACATAAAATGTCAAAATACTTTTTCACATCTTAACTTACATAAAGAGCAGTAGTTTGACTCTGAAATGCATTGACAAAGGCAAGGCGCTGACCACTGACTATACACCAAACCTCAAGCTTTCCTCCTTCTGTTCCTGTCACTACTCCCCATGTTCCGCAGCTCAGGCATGTTATTCCATTATATGTATAGATCGAACCATGACTTTCCCCTGAAAGAAAAATTATTTATAAATCAAAATTGAGGGAAGGACTCCAATTAGTGCCTTCTAGGAGTGAATATGATCACCTACTTACTAATTTTATATCAAATTGCAGTCAATGTATATATATCAAAGTAACTTAGCATTGGGTAAGAAATCACATTTGAAGTCTTAAGACAATAAAAATTGCTAAATAAGGATTATTTCAAGTTCAAGTAAGGCTGAGATTCCTAGACATACATCCCGTGCCATTTAACTACTTAAGACTTGACCCAGACTTTGGAATCAATAAGGAAGAATTTCTATACAATACAAGATAAGTTTGGAAATAGAGAAGAATATTTGTAATGCATATATTTAAATGAGATGCCTCTCACAGCTGGTCTAGCTAGCACAACAGCCAAGGCATAATGATGGACCTGCCTATGGCTATACATGTGCACAGTTTCAAAAATGGACCATATGAACAAATCCACAAGGGCCGTGGCGAGGATTCGAACCGAGGATTCGTCACGGCCCTTGTGGATTTGTTCATTTAATGCATCACGTTAGTGTGATCTCTGTGTGTGATGGACCATATGTAAGGATGAGGACCAAGAGAAAGAAAATGTAAACATCACTTACTTCTTCATTACAACCGGCTATGATGGAAGTAGTCTCGATGAACTAATTTGCAAATTCTTATAAACTGAAAGAAATAATTTCAAGTGTCCTACAAATGCCATACATAATTTCATTTAATGTTCAATTAAAAAAAAAAAAAAGATGTAGAAATCCAGTAAGAAAAATGTAATCTTTATGGAGAAGTAGCTTTCCTGGGTGGGATCACGACTCTAAATACTGACGACATCTCTTGATTCTTTCCATTCACTACCTATCCTACCTCAACTATATGCAAATCTTTTAGTTAAAATATACAATACCATAAAACGAACCTGACAATATATCCCACACCCTTAGCATACAGTCCAAACCCCCCGACACAGCCAGAATACGGCACTCTGATGAAACTCGTCCCTGGACGAATGGCAGATCATCATAATCTGTCTAGGAGAAAAAGTTAAGATATAGTATTGGATATATAAAAAAAAATATATATAAAACTTTTCAGCAAGAAAATCAAATGCATTTGTCCACACTCATTATCTTCTTTATGAGTGGCATTATAATACTAGCCTTATGACAAGGTTCTCCCATATCTGGCCTACCAGAGGCTTAAAAATAAAAATGCTTAAAGCACTTGCAATGTTGGATAAAATGAGAATCGCATAAATGCCATGAACTTGTCAAATATTCTCCAATAATCTAATAAAATAGAATAAGCATCCAATACAAAACTGAATAAAAATTGAGCTGAGAATACTATCCAGCATTGTGGAAATGCCACTGTACAGTCATAACGAGATTGAATACACAACCTGTTTGAGAATAATGGAGGTATGACCATGGGATGGCATCTAAATTCAGGCTGTACCATTTCACACAAGAATTATATAGCTGTTTAACATTCAGCATCAGCAAAATATTACATATTACAAGTAATCTACTCCATTTTGGGAGTTTGTTTTGAAATCTGACAGTGGTTCCACTTTATAAATATATATGACAAAAAGAAAAAACAGCCCAAAACAATAAAATTACAGTACTGTACATCTTCAATTATTTAAAAGCAATTTGTTAATTATTTCAACTATCAAAATCTCAAAGTATCAAGTATTATGTAATCCACTTAATTTTATTATAGCATTACTGTATCTTACATAATGGAATTTATTGCAGCTTGCTTCCAACCCTCTTACCTCGAGTTTCGCTAGTACAGCTGCAGCCAGAGGCTCAGGTAAAAATGCTACAGCAGTAACAGCTGCTGTGTGTCCTCGGAGACTTCTCTCTTCCTTGGTTTTGCCAATTCGCCACACACGTACAGTTGTGTCTCGACTGCAAGAAATATGCATAAACTTTGGGTTCAGTAATTCTTTTTAGCTTTGTATATTAGTTATAGTCCTTGGCACTGTCATCAACCTTGGTATGCAGCTGTTGGGACAACCTGCAGTTATCATTTTCATTCTTAGTATTGTATTAGAAACACCAATATTTTCACATAGGCCATTTATTGTTCAAGTTAACTGGTGGAACTCATATGACATCGAAAGCAACTGGTAGAACTCATTTAAGTATTGTAGTTATTTTTTAGATGTTTGGTGAGGAGGACATGCAAATAGAAATCAGGTCATTAGGTTTTACTGTATGTCCTGACAGAGCACCTGACAGCTGAGCAGATAGCGCTTCGGATTCGTAGTCCTGAGGTTCCGGGTTTGATCCCCAGTGGAGGCGGAGACAAATGGGCAAAAAGTTTCTTTCACCCTGATGTCCCTGTTCACCTAGCAGTAAATAGGTACTCTGGAGTAAGACAGCTGCTATGGGCTGCTTCTTGGGGGTGTGTAACAAAAAGGAGACCTGGTCAAGGACCGGGCCGCGGGGACGCTAAATCACGAAATCATCTCAAGATAACCTCAAGATGATTCCAACACTTTAAAATTTTAAGAAAAGTCTCAAAGTTCCTACCTCCTGAATAGCTATGGACACTTTACCACTGAATACCTACTATAAAATAAATGTAATCATATCCACTGTAATTTGTAAGAAATAAAATATTTGTACAGTATTATTATATTGCATCACGGTACCATATACTGTACTACTATACTAGATCTTGCCGACTCATACTTAGCAATATCAATTACGCCAGATGCCTCTGTTCACCTATCAGAAAAACTTATATACCCAAAGATTAGGCAACTGTTGTGGTTTGCATCTTGGGGAAGGTCAGTAGTTGGCCAAGGTGGACCTTACTAAGGCTAACACACTTCCTGTCCCCAAAAGTGGAGAAACTGTAAATCATCCAAAAAAATTAAAAATCATATTTTTAACAACATTAAAAGTAAGATTAGTAAAAAAGCATACCAACTAACCTTGCTGATAACACAAAGTTGTCGATGCAGTCAACGCCTAAAATTATATCATTATGGCCCTCAAGAGTGAAAACTTCATACGCACTCTCTCTCTTTAGCGCACTTTCTTTGATCATTAAATTATCAGCATTTGATCCTTTAGGAATTGATTTTGATGTCTGAGGTTTTCCCTCAACTTTTACAGCTTTTTGGCTAACACAATGATGTTGAGTTTCAGAAGAGGCAAGAAGTTTTACAGGTGTGTTTTCCGCACCCGAAACAATTTTCTCGGCATGCGTCTCAATGGGATACAAAACAGGTGAAGGGATGGAAGTAGGGTCAAATGGGCTGCTACGGGAAGATGATAAACTTGCCAGACGTTCTTGATGCTCTGGACCAGATGCTGAAGTATCAAATTGGTGGGATGAGTCTTGCAATTCTAACTCATCTGGAATCTCTTGCTTTAAATTAGACGAATCAATACTCTTAGATTTCTTAATATTACTTTCTTCTTCATTATGATGAATGCTGTAAAAGACATGATTTACTAATAAGATACAGTATGTATAAACATATTACACATTTCCATTATATTTGTACATAATACATGTATGCTGCAAAATATAAAAATCTAATTTCTTTCATTAGAATGGTTGCAAATTCAACATATGCATATTCATTTATAAAAGCATACTGTTTATATGTAGTAATTTTTTAAGATATGCAAAATCTCTTCAGCTTCACTGGATTCCAAAATATTGAATAAACATGTAAAAAAAAATATATATATATACTGTACTATATATATATATATGTGTACACAAAATACTATCCAGTTAATAAGTTTTATCTCCATAGGGGTCCATGCAATGTTTAGTGGGACCTGGAACATGGGTGATAAGAAGATGTGGATCAGATTGAGCTTGATATTATACTAGACAATGGAAAACATTCTGATGGACATAGAAACCCGTAAAGAAATAAACAAAAATGAAAAAGTAATACAGTACAGTGTAGTTATATTCCAACCTTTGCCGCTTCATGACATCATTTTCATCTTGAGGATGCTCCTTGAGTAATTTACGCAAGTCTTTGCGTAGATCAATCTTTCTGCTAACCTGGAAATATTATGAAAATTAAAGTACAAGATATGGTTTAAATGCATGAGGGTGTTTGAAAAAGATATACCCAAGACAACATACAGCACCTCGCAATACAAACAGTATTAAAATTAGCATCAATTGAAATGACTACCGAAGTTGTAATGAATACAGGGAGTATTGTAGATAAATACCAGAAGAAATATATTACTGAAGATGACATTTTCTCTACAAGGGCTTTATCAAATTTGAAAAAAAATCCCTTACTGGTGAAATGTCATCTTTATTTAAGTCTAAACTGTGTGTTTCTCTAGTTTGTGTTCAGCAGTTTGTGCTCTATTCATAGTACAGCAGCTGCAATAAATACAGCCTGTTGCAATGTGCACAGAGAATGTAAAGTGCATTGGGCAGTGGTGATATATTTGTAGTGGTTGTAAAAATTGCAAAGGTTTTTGGAGTACAGTATATAGCATAGTGGGGGATTATATGTGGTTTTGGCACATGATGATTGGTAATGGTGATATGTGGTGGTGGTGGTGATACGTGGTGGGTTTGTATGTTGCTAGAGCCTCCTGGAGAAACTTGTGCTTAGAAGAATGATTACCAGGCCTCACAAAATATCTATCCATACTGTAGTACCATAAATAAAACTTTTTTATATTATTTGAGGGTAGGATATCAAAAGGTTGATATTGGCTCCAACTGGAGCCAATATCAACTTCCAAGGGAAGCAGCACTTCCCTTGTTCAGAACTAAGTTTTTTGGATACAGTGCCACAAGATGTTGCACTATTTGTATATAATATAACAATATATTTTTGTATAAAATATAACAATATAATACAAATGTTAGCTCCATTTAGCCCAAAACCAAATTGGTACAGTATATCAAAAGCAGTTTTTATACTATATTCCAACATATTTAAAAAATGAGCCATACTGAAAAAACATGCAATTTTTAAGGAATAACTTAATCATCTAAATTATGGACACTTAACTAATCTAAGGATTGTGGATATGTTAAATACAGGTCAATGGGATGTTGATCCATCTGGTTATGTGCCCATGTAGTGCTGCATAATACGGATACAGCATAAAATTAGGAAAATGTAAACAGCAGTGTATAAGTTTGGTGTTTGCATTATTTTCCTGTAATGAATTATAATTAAAAAATACTTGAATTACTCCTTGAAGAGCATTGTGCATTCTATAAAGTGCTCAGTTTTCTAAAATTATATGAAATACATACTAAGTGACATATCACATACTACTGCTCAACTGCTATGTTCAGTTTAGCATACAGAATCTATCTAACGTATCATTCAATTTAATAGTGTACAATATTAGTGGGCTAAAAATGTTAAAGTTGGGGTCAACATATAGCTTTTGGTATAGATCATCAATTGGTTCAGGCTTCATTCCATTAAAAATAAAGTGAATCAAATCCTAGGCTTATTTAATTGATAAGGAGGATTGGAAGAGAGCTTGTCAAGATATATAGCAGCACTAGCATTACAGGTGGCTCAGGGTTGGGTTGTGTTAGGTTGACTTAAAGATTAACTTAGGTTTAGTTTGGTAAATATTGTTTAGTAGTAATAATTGTAGGCAAGCATCCTCGTCATGCTATATTGCTGGTGGTTATACATTAATCATTTTCCAACTGCGGCTGACGAGTGTAGAGGTTTTATACACAGCCAACAGTTTGCTTTCATAGTATTCTGTCTTTGATGTACAAAGAACTATCTTTAGTTCACAAAGACCGTGACCCCTACGCAGAGAACGGAGGACAACATACAGGTCAACAGTGATCATACAGGGTCCAGGTAGTACAGTCGGGCTCGTTCTCGACTCACAATCGAGAATTCCATGTTCGAGTCCTGGGTGACACAGAAATGGTTGGGCGCGTTGGCTTTCACCTCATACCCCTGTTCACCTAGCAGTAAGTAGGTACTCAGGAGTTAGCTTGTTGTGGGGTTGCAGCCTGGGCGGGGTCAGTAATTCGACCTCAGGGGGGACCTCGGTATAAGCCTAACGTGAATTGTACGTATAACCTGGCTTCCTGTCCCCCGATACAATTAAATATTATTGTAAATTATTAAAGTGCTTAGTATTAAAAGTAACAATATTAAACTGATAATTTACTCATCATAACGATTTAATTTCAAGAAATAGGACTAAAAATCATCACCTTCAAGGCTTCCTCATCGTTTAGTTCTCTGCCTAAAAGTTCCAAATGCTCGATTTGTCGCAATTTTTTTCTAATCTTCCTGATGGCCTTGTGAGCAGGCGACCCCAGCTGGTCCGCCATCCCTGCTGACGGCACCACAACACGTGACGTCATCACAACACCTGACGTCACCACCTGGGGGTATCTTCCCGAGGGGGGGGGGGGGTGAAGAGAAGGGTACAAGCCCAAAGATAATAATAATTTATCTATACAAAACACAGAAGATTTGTTCAAGTCTTTGTTCTAAAATAAAGATTTGTTCTAAAACAAAGATTTGTCGTAAAACAAAGATTTGTTCTAGAACAATGATTTGTTTTAGTTTCCCATTGTCGGAATATCGGGGGGGGGGGGGGGGAACTCCTAGTTCAACCTTGACGACGAGCGGACGTCTGGACACCTCCTCCACCTGGGAGCCGCCTGAGCACGTCCTGTTTTCGCGTTTTGGCTTTGTTACTGCCTTTTGTTGACAGTTGAGAGGCGGGCCGAAAGAGCCAGAGCTCCACCCGTGCAAGCACACTAGGTGCTAACATTAAACATCGATAAGACTTACTACATCTTATTTGGAAGCAAATCATCAAATGCAATTCAGCTACAGATAGACAACATTAACATCAGTAATAAAAATGATGGCAAGTTTCTTGGCCTATTCCTAGACAAGAGACTCAACTTCAGCACCCACATTCAACACATAACTAAGAAAGTCTCTAAGACAGTTGGTATACTCTCCAAAATCAGATATTATGTTCCTAACTCTGCTCTCCTCTCCCTATATTATGCACTAATCTACCCCTATCTTAATTATGGTATCTGTGCATGGGGGTCTACCACTGCAAACCACCTTAAGCCCATCATCACACAGCAAAAATCTGCTATCAGAATTATAACTAACTCTGCTTTCAGACAACACTCAGCTCCCTTGTTTAAATCTCTAAACTTGCTAAATATTAACTCCCTCCACACATTCTCTTGTGTCAACTACATTTACAAAACCCTGTTCTTAAATGCAAATCCTGCTCTGAAACTCTCCCTGGACAGATGTAATAGGACCCATTATCACCACACCAGAAATATATATCTCTTTGATATCCCCAGGGTCAAACTTAATCTGTGTAAACACTCTATGCAAATTAAGGGACCTAGTTTATGGAACTCACTCCCTAGTGAATTGAAAAACTGTAAAACTTTTGCCTTATTTAAAAGCAAAACCAAAAAGTACCTAACTTCATCTATTTAGTTTCCTACACTGAGCTTTAAATTTGCTCTGTACCTAGTGTTACCCAATCTCCTAATTTTTATGTAATATCAAACAACCTTATCATTGTGTTCATTGCTGTCTTCTTTTATGTGCTAGCCATATGCTGTATTGTGACTACCAATTTTTGTCAACTACCATTCAAGCTGTCATTGCAATCAATCTTATATTGTTTCTGCTGTATTGTGCCTACCAATTTGTTGTCAACTACCATTTTAAGCTGTCATTGCAATCAATCTTAGCTACCTATGTGCTTTAATATACTGTACCTACAATTTTCTCTCATCTTCTTTTTTTTTTCATTTCATGTAATCTGTTCATCATTTTTTTGTCTATAAATTTTGCAAGTATTTACCTCCTTAAAATTTTCTTAGATTAAGGACCTGCCCGAAACGCTGCGCGTGCTAGTGGCTTTACAAGACTGTAATTACAAGACTGTAGGTGATTACCCACACACGGAGCCAGACGGCTGAGTGGACAGCGCTCGTGGCTCGTAATCCTATGAACCGGGAATCAATCCCTGGCAATAGCGGAAACAAATGAGCAGAGTTTATTTCACTCTGATGCCCCTGTTTACCTAGCAGTAAACAGGTACCTGGGAGTTAGACAGCTACGGGCTGCTTCCTGGGTGTGTAATTACCTAAGTGTAGTTACAGGACACAGGATACAACTCACAACATGAAACGGACAGAGAGAAAGATCTAGGAATTGATATAATACCAAACCTGTCTCCTGAAGCTCATATAAAAAGAAAAACATTGGCGACGTATGCGAGGCTGGCTAACATCAGAACTGCCTTCAGGAACCTGTGTAAGGAATCATTCAGAACCTTGTATCCCACATATGTAAGACCAATCCTGGAGTATGCGGCCCCAGCATGGAGCCCGTACCTTGTCAAGCACAAGATGAAGGTGGAAAAGGTTCAGAGGTATGCCACTAGGCTAGTCCCAGAACTAAGAGGCATGAGTTACGAGGACAGGCTGCGTGAAATGTGTCAGAGTAGTTAACAGATGGAATGCATTATTCAGTGATGTGGCTGACTCCATACACAGTTTCAAATGTAGATATGATAGAGCCCAGTAGGCTCGGGAACCTGTACACCTGTTGATTAACAGTTGAGAGGCGGGATCAAAGAACCAGATCTCAACTCCTGCAAGCACAACTAGGCGAATACAACAGTTGCCTAACTTTTGGCTGCCTGTTTTCTTGCTATAGGTAAACATAGGCATCAGGTGAAAGAAAACGTGCCCAAGCGTTTCTGTCTTGTCCTGGGGGCTGAACCCGAAGACTAAGCCACTGTGCAACAGGACCCCCGTGAATGATCTGTACAGTTCCCAGTGTAAATATCTCCATGATAATAATACACTGTACATTACTGGTAGAATTTAATGTAAAAAAAAAATATAATTTTAATTATTGTATCAATATCTATGTCACATGTGGTATCTAAAAATGACATTTCATTTTGTGTCAAGTATTCCTCTTATCTAAAATCTAAGTACAGTATTTTAAATAATAAAGTATCTAAAACAAGCACACTGCTTCACTAATATAAATACACAAATTTTAACAATAACTTACATTGAGAAAAATACATCTGTCCCTGAGGATATTTACATAATATATATATATATATATATATATATATATATATATATATATATATATATATATATATATATATATATATATATATATATATATATATATATATAAACTACTATGCTGCCTTATTACCCTATAGTAACCTACCTTATATATATGGTCCCAGAGAAAAAAAATTGTGTATACAATTTTAATATTATAGAAACAATTGATATTGTAACACACACACACACACATAAATACTCCCTACAGCTTAAGCCAATTTAAAAGCTACACATATTTGGTTGTCTTTTTAATATAATAAACTGCTCACAAAATATCCACCCCTGCAGTCACATAAATATCTAAGCTCTTCGAACTCTAAGACGAAATCCTCATCGAACTCTTGTGTGATGTTGTTGAACCTCAACAATAAGGTTGAGTCACGATTAAAGTCTCTGAGAAATAGCCTAAGCTACCCTATCCCTTTGAGATGTATTTATTTCTTGTCTCAATAAACATACTTGAACTTGAAGTCTCTGAACATTGCACAAGTGAACCTGTTCACCTGTTCACAGACATCCTTGATGGCAATACTTCCTCCCACACTCAGCGTATGGGTCATGATGTTTCTACAAATAATTAACTACATTTGATTCCAAGCGTTGTTTACATCATCCCATTATTGCCAACTTGTCCCAACCCATTACAGGTAAATGACCATACATGAGTCTGACATAATACACCTGCTAGCATATGCCTTACATCAGATCCCTGTTAGTATATATATCAGTCTTATATCAGATCCCTGTTAGTATATCAGTCTTATATCAGATCCCTGTTAGTATATCAGTCTTATATCAGATCCCTGTTAGTATATCAGTCTTATATCAGATCCCTCTTAGTATATCAGTCTTATATCAGATCCGTTAGTATATCAGTCTTATATCAGATCCCTGTTAGTATATCAGTCTTATATCAGATCCCTGTTAGTATATCAGTCTTATATCAGATCCCTGTTAGTATATCAGTCTTATATCAGATCCCTGTTAGTATATCAGTCTTATATCAGATCCCTGTTAGTATATCAGTCTTATATCAGATCCCTGCTAGTAAATCAGTCTTATATCAGATCCCTGTTAGTATATCAGTCTTATATCAGATCCCTGTTAGTATATCAGTCTTATATCAGATCCCTGTTAGTATATCAGTCTTATATCAGATCCCTGCTAGTATATCAGTCTTATATCTGCAGATCCCTGTTAGTATATCAGTCTTATATCAGATCCCTGCTAGTATATCAGTCTTATATCAGATCCCTATTAGTATATCAGTCATGTCAGATCCCTGTTAGTATATCAGTCTTATATCAGATCCCTGTTAGTATATCAGTCTTACATCAGATCCCTGCTAGTATATCAGTCTTACATCAGATCCCTGCTAGTATATCAGTCTTATATCAGATCCCTGTTAGTATATCAGTCTTATATCAGATCCCTGCTAGTATATCAGTCTTATATCAGATCCCTGTGAGTATATCAATCATATCAGATACCTGTTAGTATATCAGTCATATCAGATCTCTGTTAGTATATCAGTCTCATATCAGATCCCTGCTAGTATATCAGTCTTATATCAGATCCCTGCTAGTATATTAGTCTTATATCAGATCCCTGCTAGTATATCAGTCTCATATCAGATCCCTGCTAGTATATCAGTCTCATATCAGATCCCTGCTAGTATATTAGTCTTATATCAGATCCCTGCTAGTATATCAGTCTCATATCAGATCCCTGCTAGTATATCAGTCTTACATCAGATCCCTGCTAGTATATTAGTCTTATATCAGATCCCTGCTAGTATATCAGTCTTATATCAGATCCCTGCTAGTATATCAGTCTTACATCAGATCCCTGCTAGTATATCAGTCTTATATCAGATCCCTGCTAGTATATCAGTCTTACATCAGATCCCTGCTAGTATATCAGTCTTACATCAGATCCCTGTGAGTATATCAATCATATCAGATACCTGTTAGTATATCAGTCATATCAGATCCCTGCTAGTATATCAGTCTTACATCAGATCCCTGCTAGTATATCAGATCCCTGCTAGTATATCAGTCTTATATCAGATCCCTGCTAGTATATAACGTACAGTAAGATATCTAAAATAATTTCAGTTGTCGGGGACAGGAAGCCTGCACTTAGGCTTATCGAGGCCCCCCTCTAGGCCTACTGACATTTCCCCAGGATGGATCCCACAGCAGTTTACTAATTCCCGGGTTCCTATTTTATTGCTAGGTGAACAGATGCATCAGGTGAAAGGAAACGTGCCCGACCGCATCTGTCTTGCCCAGGGGTTGAACCCGGGTCCCTGAGTTCATGGTGCTGTTGTTGGTGGGAGACATTACCCTAAATATTTACAAATATACGCTCATGTCAATCTCAAGTCTGCCATTATAAATATGAATATAAAAAGGAGTTTGTTGAAGATCATAGAGATATTTTCTCCCAAATTCGTGCAGTTTTACTCAAGAGTAAAACTGATTTGAGATTCTTTCTGGTTTCGTCTGAGATATATTGTGATAGCAGCTGCCAGCATGTGTTGTCGGGTGTGATGGCAATGCTTTCCACGACACCAACACGAAAACCACCAATCTGCCATTTTGTTATCTCACGGGTCTCATTAATCCACCACTGTAATACCATCTTGTACATTCTCTCATCTTTCGTTGGTGTCTACTTAACCATGATAATACAATCTTAAGACATTCTGTCATCTCTCACAGGTGACATTAAACCATCACTATAATGAAATCTTAATAACAGCAAGACTATATTTATGACATGGCGGCTAGCTGGTATGTCTGGACATTGCATATTTATTTAAATGTTTAACAATTTCAGGAGCTCCAACCCCCAGTTTGGGTCTCTCAAACTTTCCTCCAAAGTAAGCAAACACTTTATGCGGAACGAGTTGCTCAGAGTTTGTTGATGGATCTGTGCAATCTTCACACATCCTGCGGAAGATGGAACACATTCTTTCCACAAGCTTGTCTTCAGTCCATATGTCTCTATGTTTTCTCTTTTTCTCAAGTTCCATGAAGAAGCAGTTCTTAAGGGCAAACCCACAGGGAGCAGGTATATTCCAGTACCTTGAGTCCCACCACCTGAACCTTCTCTTGAGGTGTTTGGTCATCCATGGCTCGGGTTTCATGCAGGAGAGTAATGTCTTACAAGACAGGAAGGTGCGGCGTTCATGAATATCCAGTTGCCTTAATATCGACGCTTCTATTCCAGCGAAGGAGAACCTCCACTCTCCACCCCCGATGCTGGTCAGGTAAACTTGATCCTGGTCGTGTGGGATGAGAAATGGCCTATCTACCCCCTTAGGCCACCTGACTTTCATTACAGGGACCAGGTCAACGCCAACAAGCAGCAATGGGTACTGTTGCCCTTGCCAGGCCAGCGCCAGGCCTGCCCCTACCTTGGTCCGCGTTACACCGGGCGGGACGAAGCTGAGACGATGGTCCACGACCTCGTGATGTTCCACAGCACTTTGTACTGCTTCGAAAAACATGTTTTTCCAATTGGATTTCTTAAGTAGATGTTTTATTTCTTTATTCTTAGTTTTAATTCTGACACTGAGACTATGACCTTTCTTAAGAGGATTTTTACCAACTAACCTTACCACTTTAACTTCCAACGCTGGTAGGTCCTTAATGACATAATTTACATCATATTCATCAGGACCATAGAGCCGAGTGCCATCTGCAGAACTACCCAGAAGCTCAAGTTCCCCTTGGAGTAGCGGGTTCATATCGGAAACTCTTTCCATGATAACCTGCAACTCCTTCATAACAGCTGATCGCACCTCCGCCGCCTCTCCTTCCATGAAGTTGACTTCCTTGTTATTGTTCAAAATATCAGTCATGTTCAGCGACTGAAAGTGGTGCTTGACAGCTTCAGAGCAACTGTTCACTCGCCACGGGTCTTCGTCCACTGCCGCATTCTCACAAACTTTCTGGTATAGTTGTAAATATTTAATGAAATTATTTCTCACCTCCGTATGTGTATTCCCTGCTTTACAAGTATATCCATGGAAGTGATGGGATAAATATTCAAAGGTCTGGTCATGACCAAACAAAGCAGCCAAGTGGGTTGGGGAACGATTATAATTATCAGGACATACGTGGCTCGGGTCGATAATACTCAAGAAAAATGCAAGGAGTGATGTGTGGCCAAAGGCAGCAGCCTGGTGGAGTGGGGTAGTGCCCGTGAGAGGCTCCACCACAATGTTCACATCCACCCCACCTATTGTCACCAGCAGGAAGGTCAGCTGCACCAGGCCCATCTGAGACGCCAGCAGTAGAGTTGGTGATACTTGACGCGCAGCCACGCTCACTCTCTCCTGCTGCCCAGTGTGGTGTGACCTGCAGTAAGCTTTATACAACTTCGTCTGCAAGTGAATAACACTTGAAATGGCATCCTTATCCTCCCTGTCCTTCACTTTCTCCCGGTGGTGGGTCAGAATCCTCCTCTCTTGGTCGTATATTTCCTGCACAATGAAATTATCGTTGTTTTTAATGTAGAAAAATAACAAATACAAAGCAATCATTGATATAAAACAATTCAACAATAAAAAAACATGTTAAAGAACATCATCTTCATTTAAATCCAAAGATTATGCTTAAAATAAAAATCATGAAAATATGATCAAGGATAGGCTAGTATTTTACTACAATCTTAAGACATTCTTATATTTCTAAATGTTAATACATGAATTCACGTTTATAATACTTTTTAACAAGCTGCATGGTAATTTAGATACGTATCTTCTTAGTGAGCACGCAGTAACTATCCAAAGCCATGTGTATTGGCACATGACGAGACCCATGAAGGTGTTTAACCTAAGCCATGTGTGATGGATGACACATTGTGACACATAGGTGTGTGACAATGTCTAAAGCCTCCATACGAGTCATCTACCCCTTCCAGCAGAGTGGCAAGAACGAGCAGGTCTCCTCCAGACATAAATAATTACACCCCGCTGGACAACCAACACACTCCTAACTGTTGACGCCTCGCATATGCACCATGGCCACACGTGTAGAATTTACCTACCACTTCAGATTCTTAACCCATTCTAAATTTCCAGTTATCCGTCTCCCATCCTTACAAGACGTTTAGGCTAAAAGTTCTAAAGATCCTCCCAAGTGATATTGATCACTAGAACTTAGATCGACTGTCCTGCCTCGCACTAGGCTGCATGTCTTCGTCTGTTGCACTGATTCTTTTGTCTGAACATTTATAGAAAATTCACTACTTTCACTTATTGCTCCCTTCAACATGATTATATTATATGTTTAATCGCTTCACAGCCAAGTCGTCTAGGCAGTTGTTCCACACGCCAGAACGCCAAAGATACCAACCTTCTCTAGCTTCTGCTTCTTATCCTCGGGCAGGAGGTCTCTGGGCAAGATGGCACCAGGGGCACTAGGGATGTACAGACTGCCTGAGGTCTTGGCCAGATGAGTCGCCAAGTGCCAGTGGGAGGCACGGAGGGCGGCATTGATGGCTGTGAGCCCTGAAGCCTGGTGTACCGTGAAGGGCATGGCACCGGCCTGCTCCAGGAACACTGTCGTTAACCTGCAGTCTGCCTCAGCCGCCGCCACCATCAACCTGAAGCAGATGACAACACTTCGTGAAAATTATTGCAAAGCTTTTTGTTTGATGTAAAATGTTTGAAAACAATAATGAAACTCAATTAAAACATCGCTATCTAGTACACCTCTAAATTAACGCCAATATGACATCACGATGTCACACTGAACATCAAGTAGGCCTACGTGATGGTCACTGCACACTGAACATCAATTAAGTAGGCTTCAGGACCATACTTAACATGAAGAAGACCTACGTGATGTTCATATCACATATACAACAGAAACTGCAATATATTATAAACGAACTTATCATAAGTTTCCTTTTGGGATACAATTTCTTTTTGTACTTGGCAGTCACAAAATTGATACACAAAACGCTGCTTCAAACTATTTTCAATCACCCATTATATATATATATTCAGCCCATCCTCCTGTTTTGGTAGTATTTATAGTAACGATGAGGACCATAGTATACTATAAATTACATAGTAATTTCGTTATACCGACGTATAACGAAATTAGAAAGTAGAAATCGGCATTATTGAGTTGGACAAACCGGAAAACTATTTTCTACTTATGTTGCAAAGATAAACTAACCTAACCTAACCTCCCTAGGCCTAATACACGCTATCTGGGGCCTAATATAGTACATATGTGTGCTATACTAGGCCTAGGAATATTTAAATTTGTTTTTAGCTTCATTTTTCCGACTCTATAAAGTGTTCTATCTAAAATATTCTATCTAATTGCTTAAAATGGCAATCTTTGTACTATGGTGCACATAGTTACGAAATCTATTAACCTAAACAGGAGAATGAGTTGATATATTGCAGTTGGGAAATGTGTTAAGAAAGGCGCACAGGAAATCAGGGAGATTTCCTGTGCACCTAGGTGAGTACTAGGCTAGATTGGCCCTCATCCATACATGTGTGTGCAAGGATCTTCTAAGAAGCCACAAGGCATGCTACAGAAAACAAAGATGTTAAGGACTTGTGCTGTAGTTACCAGATCAGCTAGCTAAATACCTTACACAATCTCGATCATTCTTATACAATATTATTTTGTACATAATTATGAAAGTTTTACCTTATACAGTTTAACTATTGACGACGACAATAGTGATCAATTAGATCAGCTTGACTCTGATCTCTTGGGGCCGTGCGGGCTACAAAGACAAAGAGCCTCATAGCTCAGGCAATCACCAAGGAAGGCTGATTGATTGATGGAAATTAGGCCACCCAAGAGATGGCACGGACATGAATAGCCCGTAAAGGAAAGCTGGCACCAGGCCAGGCTGCGACAGGAGTGCTGCCGATATCGTACACGTCAAACTGCCGATATCGTACACGTAAAACTGCCGATATCGTGCACGTAAAACTGCCGATATCGTACACGTAGAACTACCGATATCGTACACAGGTCATCACCACGTAGAAAGCTACTGAGGCAGTTATGGAAAACAAAAAAACTAGGCAACTTGAATAGTAAACACCCATGATAATTACTGAGGAGATGGCGGGACTTGAGTGTGCTGGTGTTGAGATGGGGGATGGAGGGAGGGCCATGCCGCCAGCCAGGGTCGAGGGCCCTTTACCACCCCCAACAGCCTGGTGATACCTTCATACAGACCATGGGCCTGGCCGCGCACCCGACCTGCTTCCTCCTCGAGCACATGCTCCATAGCCTGAAGCAAACCGTTGTCTGACTTGACGTTTATGGCGAAAACTATTTTGGTCGAGTTGGTTCTCAAACATACATCCATATCTAAATATATATATACATACATCATACACACCTACATCATGCAGGCGATGAGTCACAATAACGTGGCTAAAATATGTTGACCAGACCACACACTAGAAGGTGAAGGGACGACGACGTTTCGGTCCGTCCTGGACCATTCTCAAGTCGATTATGAATGGTCCAGGACGGACCGAAACGTCGTCGTCCCTTCACCTTCTAAGTGTGTGGTCTGGTCAACCTACATCATGTATATCATACATACAGGTATAAAGACTTGCATATGTAGGCATTTGTATACATACATAAATACACACATATCTTAAAAAATGCTGTATTGCCCCCCTTCGTCACTCCACCCATTACAAGTATATGACAGGTGAACTGACCCCCTCGTAACTAAGACAGGTTAACTGACCCTCGTAACCAGCATCTTGACGTAGGTGGTGACATCTGGTGAGAGCCACGCCAGCTGGAGGAGATTGAGCCCACACACCACAGGAGTGAGAGGAGCTCCTGCGGCCACCAGCAGGCTCAGGATCCTGGGCCTGTTGCTGGTGACCGCCAGGACCAGGGCGTGTGTAGGGTACTCCGCCGTGGCCTCCAGAGGAGCCCCCTGCAGCAGGAGTTGGCAAGCCTCCTGCACATCGTCACCGTGACAGATGAGCTCCAGCAAGCGGCCGTACAGATGGCGCTCCTCGACCTCACCTGACTGATGCATAAAAATATATTAGTATTATAGGTGCTGGAACAGCTCGTCACTAACTCTACACGAATCTGTCGTTAAGCAAAGTGGGACATGACTTCTCATAATGTTTAGGGTCGAAGAACATGTTTATATAAGAATATCTGCGTGATGAGTGAGAGAATATCTGTGTGATGAAAGAGAGGGTATCTAGTGTGATGAGAAAGAGTATCTCTGTGATGAGAAAGAGTATCTCTGTGATGAGAAAGAGTATCTCTGTGATGAGAGAGTATCTGTATCATGAGAGAGCATCTATGTGATCAGAGAGTATCCATGTGGTGAGAGAGTGTATCTATGTGATGAGAGAAAGTATCTACATGATAAGGAAGGAAAATCTACTTGATGAGAGTATCTATGATTTTATGTGATAAGATTACCTATACGTGATGAGAGAGAGTATCTGTGGCGAGATTTTATGCAATGAGAGACATATATGTGTTGAGAAAGAATGTCACATGCTAACAGTATCTACAAGGAGATAGATCATAACATTGATAATATCTACAAGATAGGGTAAGAGCCCCCCGATACCTTAGAGCTATGTAGAGCATCTTGGATGAGATCTGCCAGCTGTGAGAAGCCTCCCAGCCGCGCCAGATCTGCCGGAGTGTGGCCGCTGTAGGTGAGCGCTCCAGGGTACACTAAGCAGCGGTCCTCCAAGAGGACCCTGACGGTGGTCTCGTCGCCACGGTGGGCCGCGACGTGCAGAGCTGTGTAGCCGCGATGGTCCTGGTAGTGGCCGTCGCGGATGTTGGGGATCCTGTCCTTCAGCTTCCAGAACTTGCCCTCTTGTGCCCACCGGAGCACAGCTTTCTCGTTGTCCTCATATATGGCGCGACTGTCCTCCTGCAGAGTACACGCCAGGGAGTTAATATGTCACCATGCACCAAGGATAGGAAATGTAGATGTTTATCTCTCAGAATGTTTGGTAATATGTTTATTGTTTGTGATGTGTTTATATGTATGTATTAACACGATGTACTGAACGGGGTGAGGATAGCTTGAGCTACCTCATCCCTTTGTGTGTATTTTACCTCAATAAACTTATTTCAATTTCAATTTCAATGCACCAAGGATTGGGGCGGAGGGGGGCCCCAATCCTCCTGTTTTGATAGTACTGTACATGTAATAATAACCATGGGGGGGGGGGGTTCCATCGTACATATATTGACGTAATGGACAACAAGAGTGTAGAAGTGTGATACTGTTGAATTTGGACAAACTGGAAAAGTTTTTTGTTATTGTTACTAATAAAACCTAACCTAACCATCCTACGCCTAATACACTCTCTGAGGATTAATGTTAAATATATATTTGCTATACTAGGCCTAGGAATATTTGTTTGGTTTTTAATTGTTTCCGGACTATAAAGTGAATAATACTTGTAGGTAATTTAAATAAGTGAATATATCGATAACTGAGTCACTACACACAGAAGTCACAATAACGTGATGCATGAAATGAACAAATCCACAAGGGCCGTGACGAGGGTTCGAACCTACGTCCGAGAGGATCCCAGACGCTGCCTTAATCGACTGAGCTACGACATGGTCAAAAGAATTGCAACCAGAAGTTCTACTGAACTTACTTGGATCTTGCAGCCTCTCCGAGACACAAACCAGGGTTTTACACAATTCCGTAGGTTCGAACCTTCGTCACGGCCCTTGTGGATTTGTTCATTTAACTGAGTCAGTGTTATCATATACCTTGAACATTCCGGTCGCAGGAGCCAAGGAGGCATCGAAGACCACTTTGGGCAGCTTGCTGAAGAACCAGTGGGCGTCGCTGCGTCCCCATACGTCGGCCACGGTGGCCGGGGTGCGGCCCTTGGCGTCCCTGGCCGTGGGGTCGAGATTGTGGGCCAGGAGGGCCTGAGCGGCCTCGACACACCCACCAAGACCCGCCACGTGCAGCGCCGTCCACCCCGCCGCCGTCTGCGCCTCGCGCTCGCAACCCCAGCTGATGAGGATGGAGATGACTTCGACTTGGTTTTTGCGCGCGGCTTTGTGTAGCGGGGTGTACAGGTTGTGGGTCTTGGCTTCAATGTTAGCGCCGGCCTCCAGAAGTGACCTCACGCATCTGGCTGCTCCCGTCCAGGCGGCCTTGTGCAGCGGCATCTGCTCTGAAAGAACACACACATACACAACATCAGTTTTATTATTGTTTCTTCTATTTCCTGAATCTTTTATGTGACTAACCTTTCCGCTACCGCCCACAGGATGGGTATGGGGACCATAATATTACAATGAAAAGAGGTGTTCAGGGAATATAAATGGGAACAATAAACAAATGAATACACGAGGTGAGTGTAATAGTGTGCCACTCACTGTATTCATCAGCAGTAGAGGCCTCTATGCTGGCACCGTGAAGGAGCAGCATCTTTAGCACCTCAACTTGGTTCATCTCAGCCGCCAGGTGCAAGGGCGTCCCTTCTCTCCTGCCACGGCCGTTCACGTCAACCCCAGCTTCCACCAGGACAGGGATTAGGTGGGCGTGTCCCTTGACCGTGGCCACAGCCACCAAAGTGCCGCTCTCATAGTCGGGGTCATCTTGTGGCATGACGACCCCAGGGTCACCACCAGCCTTCAGGGCCTTCTTGACGTCATCCAGTCGACCTCCCCTCACCGCTGCCACCAACTCCTGTCAATCCAACCTCTGTCAAACGTTGTCTTTACCAACCAACAGTTTTAAAAAATAATCTTAACTTTATATAAAATATCTTAACATTTTAACAAATATTTCTTTCTCTCTTTCATGCGTCTGGTTTCAGTGTCCGGATCTGGCTTACCCACGTACACACGCATATACATATCCATCTAGTTACACATCTACACATAAGGGACATATCCACGTTACACATACGGGGCATATCCACCCTACACATACGGGACATATGTTCAACTTGTTACCATCTTCGCGTATTTTTCCATCTTGTTATTTTCCTTAGACACAGATGAAGGAAGGCTTGGAGGGAAGAAAGCAGAGACACGTCGAGGAACAGAGCATGAGGATGGAAGGATGTAACACAGCACTGTCGCAAGTCACGTGCTGTGCCTCAAATGACCTGGCCACGAGGGAGAGTCCAGCATTTTGATGTATGCGGAGAGTGAACAGTGGATAGGGAAGGTAGTGGATAGGCAGAGATATCGACTGCAGGAAATTATAAGAGGAGATAAAAAAGCTACATTCAAATTCATAAAAATCCTCAGGAACAATGGGGGAGGGGACCTTTCGCAAGTAGCCGGCTTCCTGTCCCAGTGGAAGCCACTAGAGATAGTGGTCCTTAGGTAAGTTCAGGTAAATCATCTCTTTCAAGCGACAATAATGGCACTTCTTTGAACTGTGGGAGATCGCCTCTTTCCAAATTAATATCCCTCCCTTCCCACCGAAGAAGAAGGGTAACCGCCAAGCCATGTTTCGTCTTGAAGCAAAGTACAACGTCTCAAGCCAGACAGATGTTCCCTCAATCACAGCACAGAGCACAGGATACACAGGAGAATTATAGGAATGGGGGATACAGGATACAGGGGAATTGACAGGGTAAACAAGGATGGATTATTTAACACGGGTGGTACACGAACAAGGGGACACAGGTGGAAGCCGAGTACCCAAATGAGCCACAGAGACATTAGAAAGAACTTTTTCAGTGTCAGAGTAGTTAACGGATGGAATGCATTAGGCAGTGATGTGGTGGAGGCTGACTCCATACACAGTTTCAAATGTAGATATGATAGAACCCAATAGGCTCAGGAACCTGTACACCAGTTGATTGACAGTTGAGAGGCGGGACCAAAGAGCCAGAGCTCAACCCTCGCAAGCACAACTAGGTGAGTACACAGATATCCTATCCATGTCCTGTGTAACTATCCTCACCGCTCACAGAATTGATGTTCGGAGCGGACAATAAATGAACTAAAATGAAGGGGGTATATAGAAATAGCCTAAGCTACTCTATCCCTTTGAGATGTATTTTTACTTGTCTCAATAAACATACTTGAACTTGAATGAACTAAACTAAATGAATACACATTACTGTCTGTAGTTCTGATTGACGGAATCAGAGTTTCTGCCTTATTATTTATATTAATGTTTCGCGGCCAAATATCAAATTTTGTATATTTCTGATTACGTGAATAGAGTATTTATATGGTTTGGGCATTTTATGTTAGGTTAATTCTGATATCACTTTTAGTTAATAAAATACCTAACTGAACTAACAGGGCCTGGTCGTTGCGCAAGCACTTCCGCTCGCACTCACATCCCGGGTAGATGACGTCACAAACAACTCTGCTGATCAGTGCAGCCGCCGATAAAATATGCTAACAGTGTAGGATGTTTAATAGTAATGAAGCAAGAATGTGAAGCATGAACCACACAGTGGTTCTTCTACCCACCTGTGTGGCCCCAGAGAGGCCCAGAAGCATGGCCCTGCCCGTTGGAAGTAGCCTTTTGTCCAGGGGTTGTCTAGGGCTTGGCCAGGAGGTTGTCTACGGGGGGGGGGGGGGGGGGGGGGGGGTTGGCTTGTTGTGGGGGAGGGGGGGTTGACAAGGGGGAGGGGGTTAGGAGGCCTTGACAGGAGGACGGAGTGTGAGTGGTAGTTAAAGTTAAGTGAGGGGGTGGGGGGGGGAATGTGAGTCAGGAGCTGTTAGTTGGTGAACGTCAGTAAGTGTTCCCCTCGACGCTCCCGGTAGCAGATCATCCGGTTTGCTCACTGAAAGAAATAATAACAGATAAATAGATGCGGTGGAAAATGGTACATAATATATAGTTATATAAAATTGTAATCATGTAACAAGCACTGCAGCTGGTTGTCCAATCCGTCTTCTCCAGCGTTTATAACGTCACTAAACGGATGTACTAAATTGCCCGAACCTAACCTAACCTAGGACCCACGAATAATAGAACACGGGGACATCACATCACATCAATTTTACATTCCACTATGAATTTTAATACATCAGTTCTTGTCCTTAAGGGATTTATACGTCAAAATATGATGTACTATTCAAGAGGACTTGACCCGGGCTCAGTTTTGCCATTTCGACTCACTCATGAAATTTCTATAAAGATTTATTTTGACCTATGGCTGTTTTTTTATTCTCCAAGGTTACGTATTAATTATTAGCTGGTAATTATATCTTGGCAATAACATATAATCGTAAAAAAATGCAGCTAGGCGTATTTACCTGAATTTACCTGAGAACCACCAACACTAGTGGCCTCGACGAGGACAGGAATCCGGCGGCTTGTCCAAGTTCCCCCCATTTGCCTTAATGATCTTTTCCAGCTGTACTTTAAATGTTAACAGAGTTTTAGCATGTGCGGCTTCGGCGGGTAGGCGGTTCCATGAGTTTATACCCCTAAGCTTGAGAAAGCATCTTCTGTTCTATCTCACGAAGCCTCATGCATCGGGGACACATGATGCGGATGGCACTTGTAGTAAATGTTTGCACAATGATAGAAAACCATCATGAATTATTATTATCATCCAAAAATAATAGAACCTAAAGCTATTATGAAGATTGTGTACAGAAATAGAATGTTGTACCCACCAAACATTCACATTTTGTACTATTGGAATACTTATATACGCGCATAAATAATAGGAATACATTATAAACCTAACCTGTCCTTTACCAGAGCAAGCAAGCCTATAGTTCTAACATTCGCGATCGTAGGCCTAATTTGCCTTTATATTGTAGTTATTTGTTGATATCACCTTGCTTCAAGGTACCTTTTCATCTTACCTGATATGCTAGATTAAGGACTTGGCCGAAACGCTATGCGTGTTAGTGGCTTTGCAAGAATATACAAATACCAATCTTATGTAATGTCACCAACCCATTGTACCGTCTTGTGAATATATTATTATTATTATTATTATTATTATTATTATTATTATTATTATTATTTAATACAAATGAGTGCACTCTGCTAGGCCTAGGGAAAGTTTGTTTTGTTTGTTTCCTTTACAAGCATCTTAGTTCAAAAAGTGCATCTTACATGAGTGTAAAACAGTACTTTGTACTTTTACCCATAGTAACTATAGATACTACAGTTTTTGGATGACTGGATATAGATAATAGTAGGCCTAACTGTGGTAAATTGTTGTGCAATGTAATTAATTATAATTCAAATTTTTATATGTAATATAGTAATTAAAATCTTTATATATAAAGATTTGTACATATATAATGAGCCAAGACTACAATATAAAAGTAAACTATACACTGACGCAAGATAACTTATCGGAGAAAATGTTGGGGGCCCCCAGTAACACGGGCTTCCGGTAGCCAGACAATGGCCGCCACTAGTAAGAACTGATGGAGAAGTGTTCCAGACTGGTGAAGCCTACTGTGTGTTGGCTGTGGTGTTCCAGACAAGGGTGGAGCCTACTGTGTGTTCTGGAGTTGGAGTTGATACAAACTCCAAAAACCTTGGAGTTGGTATCAACAGTGACATTGTAAACTATCTACACCGTAGGTTAAAAGAAAGACAAATTACTGAAAACACTTACTGGTAAGAATATTGGTATCAATATCAAATATGCTAGATTATTCTATATGATGTTTGTTAGATCTCTAGTTGATTATAATTCTTTGCACCTAATTAACTTCCCCGTCTCTGTGTTGGACAAACTTGAAGTAGTACAAAACGAAGCCATGAGGATAATTCGTGGTGCCCCAAGATGCTCAAGAATCATCAACATGAGGGAAGAACTGAAGCTTCCAACCATACTAGAAAGAATCATGCAAGTCAACACTACCTTTTGCCTTAAAGTTATGAGAGACCCTACATCTCCTGCATTGATCAAATACAAATTACTTAGTGCTGTTAACACCCTATTGACTGGTGCTGACATGCCAACTTACTCTTTTTATGATAAATGGCTGAGTAAAAATTCCTACAATCTCTTCAAACTCAACATGCCTTTTAAATGCAATCTACCTGTCTCCGATATTCCTCTTTATCTGTACCCCAACATTCAAGTATCATACACACCTGTCACCAAGAAAGATAATGAAAATCTTGCTCTTCTCAAAGCTGTCACACTTGAAACAATTGCCTCCGCCATCGAACATAAAGATCTCACGAGCACTGTGTCTACACACACGGCTCTGTCCAATCTTCTACTGGACGGACTGCAGCCGCATATGTAGGTTCTATAGAAATAACATTTGCACAAAGACTGTCAGTGTCAGATTAAACAACTGGCTGACCTCCACACAAGCAGAACTAGCAGCACTACAATTAGCTACCAGTACATTAAAAAACATTGGAGGAATAATATTTTGTGATCAAAGTCTGCTCTTCAAGCAATTGAAAACTTCTCCTGGAAGATCGACAGCAAGAACCTCATACTAGCAATTATAAATTACCTAATTGATGCACAGAGTAAAGAGTTTCGAATCTCCTCTGTATGGATACCATCACACATAAACATAACCCATCATAAGGAGACAGACATTGCAGTCCAATTAGCGTGTAACAAAGATGAAGTTGAATTAGATCTAGGTATCCCCATCTCTGCTGTCAAAACTATATTGTTCCAAACACTCGGGTCTGATAGGAGAGAAATTACTGACTCCCAACGACCTGAAAGCACCAGTATAAAAAGCTATGATTTGTTCAGATCTGAAACCTATATCTATGGGCAGCACAAAACATCCACCAGACTGTGTGACACAGTGGTTGCCAGGATCAGGTTAGCTTACCGTTACCTGTGGCAGGTGGCTACAGGTGACGGATCTCCCAATCCTGAGCACTCCAGGTGCAAACTCTGTGAGCAGGAACTGCGGCATGATCTCCCACACTACATCACCGAATGCCCAGATATTAGACCTTTCAGACCAGTTGGCATGAGGTACTTGGAGCTTTGCAATTACTTTATTCACTCTCGTGTTCTTGAAGATATCCTCATATTGCACCCAAAATTTGCCAGTTCAGGCTACGGAACACACGCCCCTGTATGACTAGCCATCCTGTGAGATGGGGACTTTCAATATCACTGCTGCCTTTTTCACTCTTGTGTTCATGATATCCTCATAATGCACCCAGAGTCTGCCACTGCAAAACCCAAATGTCGAGTACACAATGTGTCAACTCTGTGAAAAAGAAAACATGCACTCACTTGAACATTATATTGTAGAATGTCCCACATTGTCTGACTTTCGCCCTCCTGGGCTGAGGTATGCTGAACTCTGTAACTTTTATATGAGTACTGGAACACTTGATGATATATTGGACTTGTACCCTAGATTAACTATGTAATGTAACTATATAACCTGAGCTTGTAAAAGCATCTTAATCACCTTCAGTGGTTAAGTTCTTAATTGCACACTAGTTTCTCTTGTCAGCTATCTCACTCTGTCAGAGTAAAAGAGACAAATATATGTGTACGTATGTATGTGTGTGTGTGTGTGTGTGTGTATGTATGTATGTATGTATGTATGTATGTATGTATGTATGTATGTATGTATGTATGTATGTATGTATGTATGTATGTATGTATGTGTGTGTGTAGGTATGTGTATAAAGCTGATCAGAATTACATTTCACCATTATAAATTCACATTAATGCAGTCATAAATCTGTGTATCTATGTATTTACGTATGTAGCTTAGCCTAACATTTTAAAAGCACTACGATCACCTTCTGTGGTTGTTCAATAAATCTCTGAACTGTATGTTCGACAAATCTTTCACCCTGTCCATGGAGGACAGAACAAAATGTATATATGCTAGTTAGCATTGTAAATGTGTGGCCACGTCTGCGGTAGAAAATAATAATAATAATAATAATAATAATAATAATAATAATAATAATAATAATAATAATAATAATAATAATAATAAAACTGCAAACTACTTATCGCATGTCTTTTGTATGACTAACCATCCTGTGTGATGGAGATATTTTAGCATCACGTAGCTAGCTTTTTGACACGCTATACTCCTCTTCATATAGTCTAGGGACGTAGCTGCACAAATGCAGATATACTTAAATGTGTTCACAAAAATACATTGTAACTTTGTCCTAGTGGCCAGTATGGCGACTAATTTGCCAGGTGAAAGTTTTAATAAACAGAGTGAGTCATAATGTTTGTAACGTCAACCTATATCCTGAAATGTCAAATTGGACTGAGGGCTGACCACCTCCCCCCTCCCCCAGGCGACCAGGTGGGTGTTCAGCTCAGAACGTTTGAGCCACGTCAGAAGTCTCTGGAACGGATGTTGTAGGTCATGGGATACCGGGGTCAGGTGATGGTGTGGGGGGGGGGGCGATGGTGGGGGTCTTGGTATAGAATTGGTGGTAGTGGGTACACAATAAACTACCGCTCACACTCACAGGATGAGTATGGGGTGCACAATAAACTATAGCTCACAGGATGAGTATGGGGTGCACAATAAACTACCGTTCACAGGACGAGTATGGGGTGCATAATAAACTACCGCTCACAGGACGAGTATGGGGTGCACAATAAACTACTGTTCACAGGA